TTCTCTTTATCTTATTATTTATGTTTGACTGTGGTTACATGTGGTTAGAAACCTGCCTGCTGGTGCCGTCAGAAGCAAACATCCAGCCCTAAAGTTCTTTGTTTAGTTTAGTTTCAAACTGATGATGAATAAATCAAACTGACTCTGGTTCCAACAGACAAAAATAAAGTCACCCAGTGGCTCATTTTCTATCCAGTTATATATTATACATAACTGGTACCAAACTTTAGAGGCTAAAATGTTGACTTCAGTTGACTCAGTGTGGTTCACTATAAAGTGTTTCCTCCTGAAATGTAGTTTAGTGTAAAGTACAAAGAAACGAATCAAACTGATGGAAAACAGATGAAGTGTGTTGGTTGTGTAACTACCTGTTAGCGCCACCCGATGGTAGAAAATAACACAACCGTCTCACTTGACTAATTTTAGAAGGAACTGAATTAATGCTGCTCTGCTGTGTGGAACCTGAAATTTACAACATTGTCTTTTTCCCAGAAGCTGTTTAAGGAGCTGAAGATGAGGACCTGGTTACTGGGCGGCCTGATGGTGTTTCAAACAGGTGGTGTTTCATTTTTATCGCTGCTTAAACCAAAACCACAAGCTGAGTGTCAGACACACTTCACATGAATTCACACCTTTTGACATTCTAGATGGTGAGAAATGATGCTGAAACACCAGAACAGAGCAGCAGAAGCTTTATCTGGATCCAGATGAATAAACAGTCAAACTGAAAGTGCAGATAGCTGACAGGCAGGAAGTTGGAGCGTCGAAACGTTTGACTGAATACGTTTATTCAGGTTTGGTTCACAGTCAGCGACAGAGAATTCCTGCTTTAAATAGATTAATTAGTCTTAAACATTTTGATTTCACCGACTGTCTGCAGCAGCTCATCAGTTACTAATCAACATGACACAGAGTCTTTGAACAAGGCACCGACACTCAACCTTCTAGTCTTAAACACAAACTAAAGCACCAGATATCCAACTTACAGCTCAAGTTCTCACTTTTAAAACACACTCACGTGACTGTCAGTTCATGTACAGAGCTGTCAGTGTGGGTTTGTTCCTTCTGCATCCAGAAACGTGTCACTAAACCGGCTTCACATTCAGCCTTCTGTCTGACTTATGCAACCAAAGCACTTTGGTTAATCGACACAAATCTGAAAGCGGTAACAGATGCCTGGCTCTGTCTAAGGTTCAGAGATACACCAACAACACGTCTAATTAACTCATCACATCTTGTTTGTGTCATCTGTCTGCTAACACAAATGTACAGACCATTCATGGGGACTTCTATATGTTAAGACCCTTTTTTGGGAGTTGTCGAGCTTAAAAAAAACAAAAACGTTTGACTCCTGCAACCTTAAGTTGCGTGTTTTTAGAAGCTGGTGTATTTTTAAACTCTGGGCGTTCAGACTACTCGTCACCTGCTGCTTTCTTTAGGCTGAGTAGAGCCGCAACTACAGATTATTTACAATCTATCAGCTGTTTGGTCTCTAAAATGTCAGAAAATGGAGTAAAATGTGGATCAGTGTTTCCTCAAATGTCTTGTTTTGCCCAAAGAGATTACCTTTACTGTAACAGAGGAGGAAAAAAACCCCAAAATATTCACATTTAAGAAGTAGCACTTATCGAATTTAGAGAGTTTTTATTGAGAAATGAGTCAAACCGATAGATTAGTTGTCAACGAATCAATAAATTGTTGCAGCTCTATTCAGTAGAATTCAGCAGAACTGGGCTACATGGACTCCTTCTGTGTTTTCAGTTCAGAAAAAAAGTCATCCTGTAATTTAATCTGAAATTCAGAAATACAGGGAATAAAATCAAATATTTGCAGATTTTAGCATCTCAAAAGAGAAGATCTGCTTATTGTCTTTGTCTTGTTAAATTGTAAATTGAATATTTTTAAGGTTTTTAGACTTTGGGCCGATCAAAACAAAAACTAACAGTTCTTTTCACTGTTGTTATTCTGTGAATTATTTGCTGGACGAATCAGTCAGTTGTTTGGTTTGTAAAATGTCAGAAAATGGCGAAAAATGTTTGTCAGCGTCTCCAAAGTTCACGACGACATATTCGGACATCTTAACATTAACATAAAAGAAGCTGAAACCACAGATTTCAGACTTTTTTTCTTCAAAAAAAACGACTTAATCCGATTAATCAAAACACATAATTGGCAGTAAATAGTTGATTCAGTTGATAAATAGTTGCAGCCCTAATGCTAAGCTAGGCTAACAATGTCTAGACTCCATTTCTGCACGTGATACACAAACATCTCAAACCCAAAATGCTCCTTTAAGGCGTTCATTCTCCTCTGATTGGACAGAACTGATGACATCTGAAACATGATGAAGCTCAGCATCCTCTGCTTCAGACACCCTGAAGGTGACTTGTACTCTACACAGCTGCTGAGAAGTCAAAGGCCTCTTCAGTGATTCCTTCTGTGTCTTTTTTTACAGTCAGACCTCTGCGACAGTTTTGGTTTCTCCCGGTTCGGCTTGTGGCAGCAGCCTCCGCGACAGCAAAGAGTTCGGAGACTCGTGCTTCCTCATGTGTTTGCGGAAGTGGCGGGCGCCGCTCAGGTTCTTCTTGCAGATGTTGCAGAAGTATGGCCGGGCGTCGGAGTGCATGTCGACGTGGTAGGTGAGCTCGAGGGCGCGGCTGAAGCTCTTGCTGCACAGCGGACACTGGTAGCGGACGCCAGCGTGTATCAGCTGGTGGCTCTTAAGCGAGCTCTGCTGCTTGAAGGTCTTCTGGCAGATGGTGCACTGGTACGGCCGGGCGTCGGTGTGCAGCCGCTGGTGGCGGCGCAGAGCGCTGGAGAAGGTGAAGCTTTTGCCGCAGTCATCGCAGGTGTAGGGCCGCTCTCCGGTGTGGATCCTCTGGTGCTCCCTCATGTGCGCCTGCTGGCTGAAGCCCTTCTTGCAGATCGGGCACTGGAACGGACGCTCGCCGGAGTGGATCCGCAGGTGTTTCTGCAGCGCCGACGCCTTGAAGCAGTCGCGGCCGCACAACGGGCAGCAGTGCCTCCTTTTACCGTCAGCGCCGCTGTCGTCAGCCTGCGGGTCTGAGCGTCCGTCTGGATCTGTTGCACACATGAAGACAGATGAAGTATCTGCAGCCAGGGCTCATCGTGAGGGAACGCAAATTAGGAAGGCAGTGCAGAAGCTTTGCAAAGTCTTATGTTTCAACTGATGTAAAAGCAACGTGAGCGCATGCAAAACCTATCATCGACTAATATTAACGTGTCATGGCACAAAACTGAGCACAGGCTGTACTGACTCTCTGGGTGTGCAGCAGCTTCACCAGCCCGGCACTGCAGTTTGAGCTGCTAGAACTGATTCAGTGTTGATTCTAAAAGAACGCTGCAGGTGTTTGTTAGGTTCTCCAGGGCAGAGGAAATATGAGCACATTGTCCTGAGATTATTCTGAGAATGTAAAGTGAACTCACACATTTGCACTGTTTGGTGTCCTGTTGGTCATTTGGTTGTGGCGCTTCTGTGGCAGTTTCTATTATATATTAGCAACCACCTAGCAGGCTATGTGCTAATCCACATCTTGAGGCAGTTGCGTCTTGATAAACTAAGCTTGATAATGTAGTGAATATGTTGTGTATAGATTTAAGGTGCCTTCATTTGGGAGGCAACAACCCATCAGACTGCAGCTGGAAATGTTTTTTAATTTGAAGAACAACTGTGAACTCATCTGCCAAACTAAACCCTGGACAGAGGTGTGAAAGAAGGCACAGTTTCTTTCTTTAGTGCCCCCCTTTGATCACAGTAAGAACGTTTTGAGGACAACTTTCCCTTTCCTCTGGTCCATATGGACAGTTGGTGTTCCAGTTCAGTTCTAACACTTCAGGGAGCCACCGACACCAAACTGATGGTGAGTTCTATCTGGACCGGACCGACACACTGACTCGTCACGGGGATCAGAGGGAACACAAATAAAAGGAATTCTTTCTCTATGACGTACCGATGAACGTCGGCCTCAAGTCCTCTCCTTCTCCGTCAGAGTTTATCAACCCGCTGACATCTCCCTCTGACAGCTGGTTGTCGTGGTTACCAGGCAGTGGTCTGGTAGAACGGCTTTCTGAGTTCTGGAGGTTCACGAGATAGACGTAGTCAGACGGCATCAAGTGAGTAAACCACAGTTATCAGCTAGGATTTGATTTTTGTCTTGAAACTATAACTTCATTTGTTTCAATTTAAATGAGCAGTTTTCTTACCTGCTCATCCACACATTTCTCCTCTTCCTCCTCCTTCACCTGCTGAGTCACACCTTCCACCTCTTCCTCTTCCTCCTTCACCGTCACTTCATACTGGTCTTCAATCTTCACTTTGGACCACAACACCTGAAACACAAAACATCTCATCAGTTTCCAAACAGAATCACTTTCACAGTTGACTGTCCAGAAAAGTGAGAGTCAGATTCATTAAATTGTTTCTTTTATATCTGATCTTAACACCCTTCGATATCAGAATGACCTTCATTGGCCATGTCTGTACATGCAAGCAAGGAATTTGACGCCGGTGAACCTTAGCTTTCTGTGTATACTAATCAGAAAAAAAGAAAAAACTAAGTATTAAAAATAAGGAAAAAGTTGAGAAGTAAAGACATAAATTAGAACAATAACAGTAAGAGCAATATAAACACCCACAAATAGCAGCATTTACAGTGTGCATGCAAGATGGCAGGGTTACTGCACTCTGCTCTGCACAAAAATAAAAATCTTTGGTCAACAAACAGAAACAAATCCTTTTCTTTTCCCGCTGCTCACTCGGCCTAACAGACACACAGACTGTTGATCTGCCCCCTGCATTGCTTTCCAGGATTCCTACAGGCTACCTTGTCTGCAGGCTCTGCGGTGAGTCTGTCCTGGGCGTGAGTCCTCATGTGGTCGCGGAGCAGGCAGGGTCTCAGGAAGCTCACGGAGCAGATGCTGCAGGGGTGAGGCTTGTCGTCCAGGTGGGTTTTCTCGTGGGCCTTCAGGCTGGTGACGGTGCTGAAGAATTTCTGGCACACTGAGCAGCAGTGCAGCTTCTCCCTGACGTGGTTCTTGAAGTGATCTCGGAGCCTGGCAATCTTCGGGAAGCTTTTGCCGCAGACGGAGCAGGTGTGGAGCTTCTCTGTGTCGCCGTCTGGAAAACAGAACCACAGAGGAGTCAAGGTCAGGATGAGAAGGACCCGGAAGGGATGTGATTCCTGAATGCAGCCAGATGTACACAGTCAAGCATTTATGTTCGGAGATTTAAAGTTATTATACTACTTAACAAATAATAATGCCAAAAATAAAAATAAAAACAAAGGTTGTTTACAGTGAATCAAGAAAATTCTTGTATTTGCTGATTTTTCACATATCTTTGTAACGTCACAACTTTCTTTTTAGTCAGGTTGATCTTCATAATTAAAAATAATTAGGGCCTAGGCCTTAATATTAAAATGTCTTAGGTAAGTTTTCATAATAATAATATTATTAATGATGTTGATGTAGCCCTAATATTTATTCTAGTCAGATTATTCTCTGTAATTAATAACAACGTACAGTCTTCAAGGAGTTACACCTTTTTAAAATGTGATTAAAGACTAAATGTGATTCTGTGTCATTTCACTCAGTCTTTAGTATCAGTTGAATCTTGTGTTGCGGCAGAATGTTCAGAGTTTCTCACCGATCACTGAATGCACCACCTCCTCTGCTTCCTCCTCGTTTCCATCCTCCTCCTTCACACGGACGAGCAGCATCTCTGGTTTCTGGAACAGATTATTAAAACTGAACCGGGAGCCTTAAACTTCTGCTGAACTCATCAACAACAGATTATTGCATCATTATTTCTATCATCCAGTGACCGATGGGTCTACATTTTTTTTAATTTGCAGATACAATGTGCCTCCATACAAAGCAAACTAACCAGAGAATAGAAGGGACTGGAAGTGATGATGTTCACCTGGTCGCCTGGCGGCGTCGTGGCGGCGTCGCCTCTCAGCCTGCTGTGGATCTCCTGGTGCTTCCTCATCACTCTCAGCGTAGCGAATCGCTTCTGGCAGACGTCGCATTCGTACGGCCTCTCCCCGGTGTGAGACCTGATGTGCTCCTTCAGCCGCGACGATCTGGTGAACACACGGCCGCAGATGTCGCAGGTGTACAGCTGCGGCGTCTGAAAGAGACACAAGACAACCACAGCATGACCCAACAGACACAAAAATGACCACAAAGGTACACAAAATGACTACAAAGATTCAAAATGATCACAAAGAGATGCAAAACAATTACAATGACACAAAACATCTACAAAGAGATACAAAACAACTGCAATGTGACAGAAAAGGACCACAAATAGAAACAGAACGAGCACAAACTAAAAATGACCTCAAATAGACAAAAATGAACACAATGAGATGCAAAACAACCACAAAGAGACCAAAGGAACACCATAAGACACAAAATGAACACAAAGAGATACAAAATAACCACAATGAGAAACAAAACAAACACAAATACCACAAAAAGACATGAAGTGACCACAAACTCATCTTTAAACACAGTGGTTTCTCACTGCAGTGCCTCACCTTGTCAGCTTCGACCTCATGTTCTTGCTCGCTGTGTTTCTGCAAGTGTTTTTTCAGGAGGCCCGGCCGGTTGAAGCTCTTGCCGCACAGCGAGCAGGTGTGTGGCTTCTGACCCGTGTGCAGCCTCACGTGGTCCCTGTAAGACGACGGTGTGGAGAAAACCTTCTCGCAGAGCGAGCAGGAGTAAAGGTTCTGGTCTGTGTGTGTCTTTTGGTGGTCGCTGAGCCCCGACTTGGAGGCGAAGCGTTTGGGGCACAGCAGACAGGAGAACGGCGGCTCTCCGGTGTGCGTCCGCTCATGTTGGATGAGATACCGCCGCTGGACGAATCCTCGGTCGCAGGTCGAGCAGCGGTAGGGTTTCTCGGCGGCGTGTCGCAGCCGGTGCCTCCGCAGGCAGCTCATCTGGGCATAGCTGACGCCGCAGTCGGGGCAGGAGTACGGCTTCTCTCCGGTGTGAACCCGCTGGTGAACCACCACGTTCACCTTCTTGGTGAAACGTTTGCCGCACACGGTGCAGCTGTGCGGTTTGTAGCCGGCATGTGCGCTCATGTGATCCGACAGCCGGGACGGACGATCAAACTCGCGGCCGCAGATTGAACAGCGATGACAGCATTTTGACTTAGTGCTGCTTTGGTTTGATGCAAAGAGACTGTTGGTGTCTGGAAGAGTCCCGTCTCCTGCAGGAAAAAATACTGACATTACAAAAAACACAATAACAACAATAACATACTGTACGCTGAGTCATATGTCTAAAAACACTGACTGATGCTCAGGTCTCAGTAAACTGATCGATGCTGCAACAGTTTGTCTGCAACTATTTTAAAAACTAAATGATGATTTGGACAAAAGCAAAATGTTAATAAAAAGCAAACAAGGTTTCCACTGTATTGGCCATGTGCACACAACATCTATCTACACATTGACAGTACATTTGTCCTCAAAGAAGAAATTCTTTTCCACAGTGGGAGCAATCATGAGACATACTGTACAAGTAATACTGAACCACACCGAACTTGGGCTGAGGCCACTTAAGCACACTGCTTCCTTTCTTGAAATCAGATGCAAAATTGCCAGAAGCAGCAACTTGGAGGCAGACACATTCAGATGTACATATTATGACTGCCTCACATTGGTTCTGCTTGTCATCACTGATACGTCTTACGTAGATTTTTGTGATTTTATGCCACTGTACTGCACTCTTAAACTTCACATAAACCTTATTTGAATTGTTCAATATCTGAATGCGTTTTTCAGCCTGGATCAGAGGCCATATCCCTGAATGTTTTATGGGCGACCCCTGATCTATTATCACATTTAATCACACATCTGTGATTAAATGTGCAAATAGCTGAAGTTTTAAGTCCTCCTTGTGTCATTCCAGCAGCAGATCTACTTCACACTACGTGACACTCTCACATTTAGTGTGAGGGTGTAACAGACAAACTCAGGATCTGTCATCGCTGGTATCTCGTGGTAGCCAGTTAACCAATTCACTGAGGCAAGACTGGATGGCTGTGGATTTTTCTAACAGTAGAAGGCAATAAAGTGCAGGTGAAGCAGGAGGATGAAGAATTATCTTCTGCTACGTCAGTTCTCATGAGACCAAACATGAGATTTTAAACCACAGGCCTGGTGCAATGACATATGAGCTAATACATCTACAGATTTCTGCTAAAATAACTCAACACCAGTCTTCACAGTGGAAGAATTGACCGCTGACCATCAGTGGGAAGCTGTTGATCGTCCTCTCCTCTTTGCTCTGCTTCCATCTTCGATCCATTCATCTCCTCATGCTCTTCTCCTTCTGAAGGTGGATGGATCTCCTCCAGACCTCTAAAATAAACACAAGGACGCAGTCAGACATCAGTCCGTCCTGCTCTTTTACCACTCATTTTAACTGGAAGCTTGATTTTTTAGCTCTGTGGTTTCTACAATAGCACACAGCAAAGATGCTGGACGGAGCTGAAGTCAGAACAACACCTGCAACAATTAGTCAATTAGTTATTAATAATTAAATTAACCTCCAACTGTTTTGAACATCCATTAACGTGTTATTTTATTAATTATTTTTTAAATAATCAAGCTATCAGACTGATTCCAGCGGGGGGTTTTTTCTCCTCCTTTATGACAGTCAACTTAATATCTTAAGATAAAACAAGACATTTGTCATCTTATTTTCTGGGAAACACGGATCCACATTTTTCACCATTTTCTAATTTATATATATAATTACTTGTATAACATCTTTTGAAGACCTTGCTACAAAGTGCTTTGCAACACAACAAATGTCAAAAAAAGAACAGATTAAACAAATAAATAGGATCACCGGCATGCTGTATAATTGTCAAGACAAGACCTCGTTTTTATTTATCACATCTATGAGATGACTTGTTGTTGTAAATATGCGCTATACAAATAAAATTGAATTGAATTGAATTGAATTGAACATCTGAGACAACAGCTGCTGATAAAGCGCATATTCCAGTAAAAAGAATTATGATTGGTGTAAAAGTAACCGGACAAGATTCAAGATTGCAGTTAAGACCCTGTAATGTTATGTAAGGGGTGACTGTACCTGAATAATTTATATACTAGGGGATTACATGCTACAAAAATAGAATTACTGTACTTGACAGTAATACACAATACAGTCACACCCTACAGGACGAATAATTATAGCACATAATATTTATTATTGCATTAGATGGGTTATTCTTCATAAACTACTTAACCTGACTAATATGGATAGTGTAAGAAAAAAGTCTACAGTATTTATATTGTTGGAGACAGACTTGACCATTTTTAAGAGGCCAAACAGCGAATCGATTCCTCCAGAGAATAGTCGACAGATTACCAGACAAAGAAAATAAGAATCAGTTCTATCACGTTAAACCTATTTTCTCATGGAGCTGTTTTGTGAAGGAAAATGTTGACATTAATCACATTTTACTGTGGACAGACAAGGGCCACTGTTTTTAATGTTTCAAAGACAAAATTTAATCAACAGTCTGTACAGATTTGCTGTTCACTGCAGATGCTGCGGCGTCAAAGCGTTTAACATCGATTCAGCTCATCAGGGCTGAGCAGCGCCGTTATATTTAATATTAGCATTAATTAGCTACAACTGGCAGCACTTCGTGTGCTAATTCCAAACTGCTAAAACTCACACACGTACCGTTACTGTAGTTTTCTGTAGATATAAAGCATAAAGGTGACAGAGAGATACGGCAAACGCTTTATTGTCTAAAAAAATCCCGAGAGCAGCCGGCTGTCGACTTTAGCAGAGGCTAACTAATGCTAATTAGTTCCGAAGGGGGCGTCTCGGTCCGCACGAAGGTCCAGGAGCTCCGCCCCGGTGAAGCCCGCGGCTGTCGGCTGACAGGATGGAGGACGAAGCTCTGAGCGTCCCGTCGGGAGAATTCAGGAGAAGCTGAAGGAGCCAAAACACAACTTTTACTCCGACAGGACGCAGGTAAATGCTACCTAAAGACAAACATGGCGCACGCCTCTTCTTCGTTCACTACAACAGCACGGAACGGTGCTCGGTGCTGCCGCCACCGGCTGGAAGAGGTACTACAACAACACAGCAGGAGGAGGAGCGACGACGAACTGCAGTTCATCCACAGTTCAGGAGGAAAATACATCTTCTCATGTATCTTCTGGTTTTATTTTTATTTTATTTTTAAAAAATCAGTATTATTCATTTTAACTTTTTTTTGTTGCTACATTTCACCTTTTTAAATCAAAATTTATGTTGTGTAACAATTAATCATTTATTTTTAGTTTTTTAAATAATCTTTTATTTTAAGCCCCCATCTTTTGTCTTATTCAGCCTTCTTGTTTTGATGCACCATAGTCTGCAACTCTGCAATAATTCAGAGACATTCAACTGTTCACGTTATTTCATGTACTATTTCATCATTTTTTAAAATTTATTTTCACTGAGTTTGTTATCTTTTATTTATTTTAACTACCCATCTCCGAATTTGTTTGTCGTCTTTTTCTGATGTACATTGGTCTACAATATTTAGAAGTAGCATTTTACTGTAATCTATTTATATTGTGTATCATTTCATAGTTTTATTTTTTATACATTTTTACTGCTTGTATTGTTTTATTACACATATTAGTGCTGTAGGAAATGACCCCACTCAGAGGGGATTTAAGCAGAGGAAGCTCTGAAATATTACATAAAAAAAGTGCTCATTCAGCTAAAATAACCAGCAAACTTAAGACAATCATGACTGTTCAAACTTCAAAGAATGAAAGGTAACCATGTTGTATTTCATTTTAGTCCAGATGAAGAAAGAAAACATGCAAACACTTGAGTTTGACTTTGTAATCAATACAACACACATTTGTCATATTTTTCTTTTTTGATATATGATTTTATTGTTTTATTCTTGTCTTTCTGCTGTTTTTCTGCCTTTCGTGGAAAATGGCGTATAAATAACACTTCAGTTGTGAATAAAACAGACTGAGAGCCAGATGTTTTCACCAAACGTCACAGCTGACGCCTGAAATCCCGCAGCAGCTTCGACATCAAGACTGAAACCAGAATACTGGAGGCACACTGACGGACATGGAGTCAGCAACACATTGACACCAAATGCTCAGGTGTCCACGTAGTTCTGGTCCAATAAAACTGTGACATTTAGGAGTGAACACATTTATTGACAACAAAGCCACCGCCCCCCACAGTCAGTCCCTCACTGCTTCTTCTTCACCACATGAGCACAGTCATATTTGCCTCTGACCACGGTGAGTTTGACGCCAGGCAGGTCCTGCGTCCGGCCGCCCTGCACCAGCACCACGTTGTGCTCTTGCAGGTTGTGTCCCTCCCCGGGGATGAAAGCAATCGCCTCCTTCCCATTGGACAGCCGCACCCGAACGCACTTCCTGTTGGCAGAGTTGGGCTTCTTGGGCTTTCGGATCATCGTCTTCAGGATCACCGCCTTCATCTGGGGGCAGCCGAACAAGGCGCCCACAGATTTAGGGGGCTGTTTGGGTTTCCCCTGGCGGTGCATCTGGTTGAGGGTGGCCATCGTCCTGGAGAGGAGGGGGCCCGTCCAGGCAGAGGCATGCTGGGACGCTGCAGGGATGAAGACGTATAAAAAATAAACATTTGAATTGATTGCAAAATCCTCAAATAGCATCCCAGTTCATAGAATCTCTCTCGATGTTTAACAGTTTGTTTTGATAAATTCAGTTTCATTTCCACAGCTTGAATTTAATCAGTGTAGCACGAGTCAAGTCAGTTGTTCCGCTTTCCTTTTTATCCATAAACCACATTGACTTACAACAAACGAAAGTCAGTATTTTCTCCAGAATCTTCACATTAACACCACAAACCTGCCCGCAGGTTTGAAAGGCATGTTATCTTTAATAAACAATTGGCAAAATGACAAAAGGACATGTTGATTCCAAGTTTTTACTTTTTTGTATCAAAGAAATTTAACTTTAGTTCTTTCCTTTCTCTGATTTCTGTCATTCTGTGTCATGCTGCACAGAAGACATTTCTGAGTTCTCTTTCCTCCGAGTCATGGTTGTTGTTTCCATGGAGGTGCAGGACTTGATATTGCAGTGAAACACAAACCTGCTGTTGCTTTGTAACTAAGAAAAACTATTTCCAAACCTTGTTTTATTTCTGTTACAACCAAATGCTCCATGTGGACATTAAGGCCATTTAAAGGGTTTTTGAACATTTTCTTTCAACACCAAAAAAATCTTTTACTACAGCCCCTTTTAGACATGCAACATGGAACATTGTTGGGTTCATCAATACGTAAAAATGACGACATTCTGTCACTGAGACCCTTTTCACACATCACTTCTCCATTAATGTCCCTCATGACTGCATTCACACAGAACCAACCACACTGCTGCTGTATGCGCATTTATCATTCACACCAGACTAGTTCATAGATTTGAATTTCAAAGTCCAGTTTATTTCTGATTTCTCTGACAGTGAAGCTGAATTTTAGGACTTAACCGGAGGACAGCAGTGATGCATTGTTGACTGTGAACTCACCTTGAAACAGTGACGTCAGCACCGGTCTGAGGCTCCACAACGAAGACATTCCTGAAACTAAAGACAAAACTCTGTAATATCTGCTGATTTCATCAACCCAAACATTTGTTCAGATACATTTCCCAGCAAATAAACCTGCAGCTAATCAATAGTTTTCCTGTTGAATAATCAGTTGATTATTTTCTACATTTCCTGATGAGTTGTTTGATCTTTAAAACATCAAAAAATGTCCTAAAATGTCTTGTTCTGTCAGTGGAGGATCAGTTTAATGTCATAGAGGAGGAAATAACCCTGAAAATATTCACATATAAGAAACTGCACAGAATTGAGACTGTTTTTATTAAAAATAAATAAATACTTTGCACTTTACTTGAGTATTTCCATTTTCTACTAATTCTTCACTATATGCATCTGATCACTATGGTTCCTTTGTGGATTTCATTGAATTTAATAAAAGTAAATGTAAGTTAAAAAATACACACACATACATGTATAAAAGTATGTGTGCACAAATGACCATCCTGCTTAAGTCGTGGTTCATATTGCAGTAACACACACAACAGCATTGTGGGGTTTTTATGCAGTTCTAATCCTTTCTGTTGACCAGCTTCTCTTGAAAACTTTTCCTCAGTCGTGTGCTCGCTGTAGGGACCCATAGACGTGGATAATACAGAAAACTACTTATAATTAAACGATCTGCTGAAACACACTTATGCCGAATTTAACAGTAACTTCTGATGATGCTCAGCTCATGATGCACAAACCGAACCTGGTCCCTGGTCTGGGACTTTTGAGGAGCAACAAACTGTGAAATGTTGGATTTTTTTAAACGGAGTCTGGTGGTGGGTCGGTCGTTTTACTGAGGACAGTGTTGGTTTTAAACACATGTAGCTGCTGATGAATTCAGCAGACAGTTCAACGAATTGAACAGTAATTTAGGATTTAAACCACCGTTAGAATGCTCGGCTAACGTTAGCTAGCTCGCAGAGGTTAGCTGTAGTTTCAGCGCTTTGCTCACCTGCACGAAGAATCCCGGATCAACACGCAGCTCCGTCAGGTTACGGGAGAAGATCCGGGTTGATCAAACTGAACCTATAATCACTTTTCACCTTTTTGAATCTCATTTAAATAAAAAATCCGTGAAGGACATCACATCTGAGCTCGAGCTGCTTCACCCCGGTGAACCGGAAGTACTCTTTCGTCGCGCATGTGCTTCTGAATTTTCAGAATAAGACACGAGCTCTTTAAAAAAAGGGGGCCGTGCCTTATTTAAGTTTTATTTTGAAAGCAGAATTGAAATAATGTTTCTGGAATGTTTATAAAAACATTCAAATCATAACATTCTGAAATTCAAATCATAACATTCTAACATTTAAATCATAAATGTCATAAATATCATGATATTTCAAAGTTCAAATTATAACATTCAGAAACTCAAATATATCAACAAAATTTTTGCAGATTGTCATTAAGTGAGTCTTAATAGAAAAACAAAATACAGGAAACAAATTCTAAATTGGATCAAATACATCAGGAGCTGATAAAGTCGAGTTTCAACTCGCCTCCTGAGAAAGAATCACCACAACAATAAAAGCTCCAGCGGCTATTTAACTTCTTCTCCTGACATGTAGCTAATACTTGAAATACATATTTAACATATTAATACTTTAAGTGAATTAATAATTCAGCCTCTGAGGTGGACGAAGCAACAACCATAAAACGTTCCTGTAATCTGATATATTAACAGAAGTGAAACTTCTTTATGTGAAACTTTTTTTTTTAGAACATCTTCAGTTATCCTACTTTTAAGGAGACAAGTCTCAGAACTTAAGGAAAACACTGAAAGCATTCGTAGAACTCTGCAGAACCTTCTCAGACATATTTGGAACAAAATATTTCTAACTAGGTTTGATTATTTGCTCCACCAAAAGATGGAAACCCTTCAGAAATTCTCAGATCAAGGAACTTTGTCATCTTTAATAACCTTGGTGGGACTTTTTCTGGACAGATTTAAGTTTTTTTTTTGCTCATGTCTGGTTCATGTTGGGGGCTGCAGGGTGTTGGTAGCACTGTTGCCTCGCAGCAAGAAGGTCGCCGGTTCGCATCCTGGTGGAGTCTCCATGTTCTTTCTGTGGTTTGTGTGTTCTCTCTGGGTTCTCCGGCTTCCTCCCACACAGTCCAAAAACATGTTGAGGTTAATTGGTGATTGTAAATTGTCCGTAGGTGTGAATGTGAGTGTGCTTGGTTGTCTGTCTCTAAGTGTAGCCCTGTGATAGACTGGTTACCTGTCCAGGTGAACCTGCCTTCACCCTGAGTCAGCTGGGATAGACTCCACCCCCTAGATGATGGATGGATGTTTCATGTTGCCAAAACCCCACGAAAAGCCTCATCACATATTCCAGGTGAGCTGAGCTTCACCTGGCTGATCATTTCTGACTGCAGTGAGTCAGACTGATGTTGTCAGGGTCCACAGATCATCGATCGCTGATATCAGCTCTGATTAGACCCACTGGCCTCCAGGTGAAGGTCTCGTCCTTTGCAGCACATCAGCAGATCTCTATCAGAGTTACACATTAAGCTGGCTGCAGGTGTGCATCTCAGGAGAAGCCTCGCCGAGCTGCAGTCAGACTGAAGGTGAAGATGAAGCTGGAGCTCTTCGTCGTCCTCGTGGCTGTGACCTGTGCCACCAGCAAGCCGCTGAACAAGGCAACGACGGGCAAGAACAAGCTGCTGCTCGTCTCCTTCGATGGCTTCAGGTGGGACTATGACCAGGACGTGGAGACGCCGCATTTCGACCAGCTGGTGGTCGACGGCGTCAAAGCCAAATACATCACCCCCCCGATGCTGACCATGACCTCACCGTCCCACTTCACCACCATCACCGGTAACACCATTAATTACAATTTTATTTACTTGATCTTATTTTCATTTATTTTGTTTTAATTGTTTTAAATTGAACTTATTTGAATTCAATTCCAGTACCAATGTGCTTTAACTTATTCTCATTTATTTTGTCATTTTAATTTATTTACATTGACTTTATTGTCATTTATTTTTGTTTAAATGTAGCTTATTTTATTTTATTTTATTTTAATGCATGTAACTGAATTCCTTTAACTTTTTTTAATAATTCCCATTTACTTTACATTATTTTAATTTAATTTAATTGAAGGGAATTTTATTTTCATGTAACTGAATGCAGTTCCATCTAATTTAAACATTTGATTTGATTAAGTTAATCGACGCTGACTTAGTTAATGAGCTGCTCTTATTGCTGTTACCTTTGCAGTAAATACTGCACGTATTACTGCAGTTCTAAATGCAGCTGCTGTACAACAAGTACTACTGTTTAACCTAATACTGCGTTATGACTACAGCATGTGGTAGAAAGTACAAGTCAACAACTTAACTACAATTTAAGGCACCTGTACTTTACATAAAGAGTCTGATATTTAATTTACGGTCTTCTTGCATCCTATACTTTCAGATTCAAACACTGCTTTTTTTCCACTGCAGTACTCGTTTACTAGTCACTGCACACATTAGGTCTTTAAACTGAACAAACAGACATAGAATTAATAATTCAGTTTTATTTGTATAGCGCATATTTACAACAACAAGTCATCTCATAGCGCTTCACAAAGGCGGAAACACCCAACAATCCAAACATCTGGATTCCCTATAAGTTTCAGCAGTCTGCTGGTGGGAAGGAACCGGAAAAAAACCTCAGACAGAACCAGGCTGAGGGAGGGACGGCCATCTGCCTCGACCGGTTGGGTGGATGTAGGATGAATTATACAATGTAGTTTACAGTTAAACAAGTTATTAGAAGTTTTTGTCTTTTTGTTCCTCCATTTCAAATGGACCAATGAAATACTCCATTTCGTGGTTGGTGGAGGTAACAGGAGGCATCATGGTGGGGCAGCAGGATGCAGAAGGTGAGGCCAGCGGCTGTAGTTCAGGAGCTCCAGATCCAGAGACATCCACAGAGAGAGCAGATAGATAGATAGATAGATAGATACTTTATTCATCTCCAAGAGAAATTTACAAGACGCAGGAGAACCTCGGGGGGAGTCACAGAGTTAGTCATATGTAATGGTGATAGGCAACTATAGAAACATATACATACACATATATATAAAGAGGAGAGGAGAGGAGAGAAGCCCAGTGCATCATGGGAATCCCCCGGCAGTCTAAACCTATAGCAGCATCACTAAGGGACAGCTCAGATGACTCCGAGCAGCCCTAACTATGAGCTTTATCAAACAGGAACGTTTTTAACCTAATCTTAAAGGTAGAGAGGGTGTCCGCCTCCCGAACCCAAACTGGGAGCTGATTCCATCAGACAGGAGCTGATAACTGAAGGCTCTGCCTCCCATTCTGCTTCTAGAAACTCTGGGAACCACCAGTAGACCTGCAGTCTGAGAGCGGAGGGCTCTGCTAGGATAATATGGAACAATCAGGTCTTTAAGATATGATGGAGCCTGATCATTAAGACTTTTATATGTTAGAAGCAGGATTTTAAATTGGATCCTTGATTTTACAGGAAGCCAATGGAGAGAAGCTAATACTGGAGAAATATGATCTCTTTGATTGGTTCCTGTCAGAACTCTGGCTGCAGCATTTTGGATCAGCTGAAGGTTTTTAAGAGAACTATTAGGACATCCTGATAATAAAGAATTACAATAGTCCAGCCTAGAGGTTATAAATGCATGGACTAGTTTCTCAGCGTCACTCTGAGAGAGGATGCTCCTGATTTTGGCAATATTCCGAAGATGAAAAAAGGCTGTCCTACATGTTTGTTTTATATGGAAGTTAAAGGACATATCCTGGTCAAAAGTAACCCCGAGGTTCTTTACTGTGGAGCTAGACGCTAAGGCGACGCCATCCAAAGTAGTTAAGTATATAAAGGAAGTAAAAGCAACTCCAGCAGCAGAATGCTGATGAAGAATTGTTAATGTAATTATATCAGATATTGCACCATAAAATAAGTGGTTTTATTAGTGCTATAAGTGCTTTTACTGCTGATGCTTCAGGACATTTTGCTGATAATACTTGTGCTGGTTTGATGATTATTTTTTTTCGCCTTCATGACAGATTTACAGTGGAAACGATTATAATTAACCTCGAGATAAGATGTTTTATTGTGCTGCTTACAGAGCTGCTTCATGGAAACAGATTCAATCGCTCTGAGAACAGAGTCCCTAAACTGGGACTGTAGTTAGTTTAGTCTTGGTTTAAGGTTTAGGATGGGTTTAAACCTGTGTGTTTAAAGTCACTCCAACTCCACCGTTTAAACTGCACATGTGGTTTATTCTGAACCAGCTGCTGAAAATCTCATAAACTCCCGTGGAGGTCTAACCTCTTCAATCTGCTGCAGACCCAGTTTAACTGAGGTTTCATTTAAACTGCTGCTTTCATTACCAACTTTCAATAGACTTACTGTAACTAGTTTTAAGTTTAACTGTAACATCATGTAGACCCAGTTGAACTTTAATTAAACCTGCCACAGACCTGGTTGAGCTACGGTTTAACTTGAACCTGCACAGACACCGTCTACCTGAGGCTTAACGTAAACCCACTGCAGATTCATTTTAACTTAAACTTGCCACAGTCCTGGTTTAACTTAAACCTTCTGCAGGCTCAATTTCACAACAGCGTCACCTAAACCAGCTGTGGATCCAATTGAAAGCTTTTCCTAAACCTTCTCTAGGCCTAGTTTAACTTGTCGCAGACCTGATTTCGTTAACGGTTAATTTAACCTCGCTGTAAATCAGGTGTGACTAATATTCAAGTTAAGTGTGAACTCAGGTTTAATTTAACCTGCTGCAGAACCTGAGGTTCAACTTAAACCTGCACAGACACAGTTTACCTGAGGTCTAACTTAAACTTACTGTGGACTTGGTCAAAACTTTTACAAACCCACTTTAAGTTCAACACGGACTCAGTTTGCTGAAGTTTGACTCAAACCTGGTTTAACTGATGTGAAGAAGGAGGAGGCACATCTGTGACCGTCATTATTTAGCCTCTCAAACAAGTCTTGTTTTGTCCACTGAAGACTACACTTGCTTCGGACTTAACTTGGTCTTGGTTTGTGAAGTCCTATCAGCGTGTTAAATGTTACAAACCTTCCTGTGTGTGCACCAGGACGATGGGTGGAGGATCACGAGGTCGTCCACAACATGATGTTTAACACCAAGACGAATCTGAAGGTTCCTCACAAGAAGACGCTGACCCGATCAGAGTGGTGGGACAACGGGGCTCTGCCGTTATGGATCACAGCTCAGGACCAGGTGAGGAACACAAAAATCTGACTTTATCACACTAATATCACAGATTTAGAAGGTGAGCGACACCAACAAGAAGGATTCAAACTGTGAATGTTTTAACAAAGGCACTGCTGCAGAGTAATGTAGGTTTTTCATTTCAGGGTCTGAAAACAGGCTCCTTCTTCTTCCCTGGAGGTGGTGCCAACTACAGCGGCCAAGCGGTCAACCAAGTAGTGGTGGAAGAGGCTGGCCACCCAGACGACAACGAGACCGAGTGGCGTCAGAACATCGACACGGTGATGAGCTGGTTCACTGAGGAGGACTTGGACCTTGTGACGCTGTACTACGGTGAGCCGGACAACGTGGGCCACGCCAAGGGCCCGGACCACCCGCGCCGCATAGAGATCATCGAGCAGATAGACCGCACCATCGGCTACCTGAGGGAGGCCATCAGTCGCCACGGCCTGAATGACAGCCTGAACGTCATCATCACCTCCGACCACGGCATGACCACCGTCAAGAAGCGACCTGAGGTAGACGAGATTATCCTCAACAAGTACCTGAATCTACTCCAGCACGCCAGTTTCGAGATCCTCGACTATGGTGGGTTTGGCATCCTTACACCGCGACCAGGACAGGAGCAAAAGGTCTATGATGCTCTGTCCAACGCGCCCAATCTGACGGTCTACAAGAAAAGCGAGATGCCAGAGAGCTTCCATCTGGCCAAGAGCGAGCGGCTGCCTCCCATCGTGGTCGTCGCAGATCTGGGCTTCAACCTGAACTCTGTGAGTTTTACCCCTTTTTGGATTCAGATCACATTTTTCCCTGGGAGTGTATGAGCAGAAATCTTTTGGAGCCCTGATAGCTTCAGGAGTTCAGCAGTTTACAACATCACATAAACAAGGTTTAAACAAAGTAAAGTAAGGATCAAAAATGAAAATGACAGCATGAATATTTCCTATTTATAAAATTCTAAAATGACTTCATACAAAACAATCAAAGTCCAACCTGCATCTCCTGAAAGTGTGTCGGGATTGGTTTTGGACCAATTTCTTATTTAATTTGGACTTAGTTTTAGACTTATTTCAGACTTTCCTTGTAACTTGTTTTGGACTTGACATGAGACTGGTTTTGGACTTTGCTTTGGACTGATTTACAGCTTGTTTTGGACTTGACATCACGATGGTTTTAGACTGGTTCTGGGTTGATTTTGGAGTATTTTCAAACATGAATTCTGACTTGACGTTAAACTGGTTTTGGATTTGCTTTGGAATTGGTTGTAGACTTGGGTATAGATGTGGGTTTGGACTGGCTACAACAGCATTTAGAATTGGTGTTAGACTTGTTTTACTATTTGTTTTTATTCATATTTTGGCATCTGGTAACTTTGCCTTCAAGCAGTTAACCACAAACACGACAACACAAAGTATTCGTGTTGGTATTAGTCATTAAAGCAACTGTTTCCATGTGAATCCAAAAGTGAAGATGACCAAAACTGATGTTGGTCATCCATCAGTGACGTGTAGAAATTGAGCTAAAGTCTAATTTTTTAGTATTTTGTTCAAACATTTGAATGGTTCAGATATTTTTGCAGATGTCTGCAGCATTTCCTCACCAAGAGCTCTCAGCTTTTCTATTTATACTGAAGTCACAGTGGAGCTCCATTTGAATGCAGTCTAAGTTTTAGACCAGCAGCACTGCAGGAAGTTGTCGGGGAGGTCAGGGGGGCAAACGCCAGAGTAAGAAGTGATCAGCAGGAACCAGCAGCGAACCAGACTCCATGACTTCTTCTTTTGTACCAGAGATTCATCGTCTACGTGAACAAAGGTGATCACGGCTACCACAACGGGGAGATGGACATGAAGACCATCTTCAGGGCCTTTGGACCAAACTTCAAGAGGAACTTTCTGACGGAGCCGTTCGACAGCATCCACATCTATCCTCTGATGTGCAAACTGTTGCAGATCGAACCGGCGCCGCACAACGGATCACTGGCTGTGACGGAGGACATGCTGCAGTACAACGGTGAGTCTGAACAGACAAAGGTCGGCCAGATGTGTAGATCCTCCTCCTTTTGAGGTGTTTGCAGTCGGCTGAAAACTACAGGCATGCAGTGAAGCTTCCAAACACAGGAAAACATCATTTAAAATCACACAAAGAAGCACAAATCCATCCCTATCACAAACGGGCTCCCTATCACCTTTTAACTTTTTTTCTTAGACTGTGACCTTATCGGCTGCTGCAAAGATGATCCGAAATGAAATGTTGTTGTGTATCTTGTACAATGACAATAAAGTTTCTTCAATGTTAGTCTTAGCTAATGCTAATTTAGCCACTTTTCCCTGTTTACTAAAATTCAATTTAAAATTCAATTTTGATGCTGCAACACTTTAAAAACTGAATTTGTTGTACTACATGAAACTGAGGATAAAACTCAACCGGTTGGTTGTATTTGTGCTAGTTGAGGCTACCGTTAGCCGTGGCTAAAGCCAACTTTGCAGCTTTCTCCAACTCAAAATTTGACAGTCCAATATTTTAGGAATTGAATCGTTTCATGTCATAAACAAGAGAAATCATAATAGAGAGTTTTGTAGCACCACATAAACTAGTATTGCTAAATGCTAACTAGCCTAGCTGAGCAAAGTAGCAGCGAGTCCTGCGAGTCCTGCAGCGTGTTGTTGTTGTTTAACAGCTTTTAATCAAAGGTGAGACAGTATGTTTTGCAGCGCTGCAGATATAAACCCCAGGAAGACGTCTCACTCTGTCAGACCGATGAAACAAACCTCCATGTAGCATTACCGTTGGTGATCAGGTTAACTTGTGTGTGTTTCAGGTGGACTGCAGAGAGCTCCAGTGTCTGTTGCTGTGCTGCTGTCGATGCTGATCTCCATGTTCTATGTGATGTAGCTCATCCGGGAAGCATCTGGTTTTATTCTTAATCTTGTAAACATCTGACTTAAACATCTGAGTGGATTATTATCAGAAATATATATACTCGATGCTAATTTATGAGTTTGTGCTTTTTTTCTAGTTTGTTTTGCTGCAAATATTTCACAGGTGTATGTCGTCGTCTGCTTCATGAAGACGTATGAAATAAATTTGAACAAAGCATTTTCACCACTTCTGTAAATAAACACATATCTGTGTTAAAGAACAGTTGCAGCTTATTTCAGTCAGCTGTATTTCTATTCATGTGTCTGTTGGACCTAAATGCTGACTTCGCTGTAAAGACCCGCAGGTTGTTACAGTGTGATGGTGGGTTGTCCAAAATGAGTCAAACTTGTCCAAAATGATTCAAAAATCGAGCTAAAACATTGTCTAAAATGACTAGAAAATTTGGAAAAGTTATCCTAAGTGGCTCAAAATGGTTCCAAAATGACTCAGAATTTGTCCACAATGTCCTGAAGTTGTCTAAAATTACTCCATTTAAAAAAAAAAAAAAAAAAATTGCCCAAAATTACTTGAAACTTGTTTGTAGCCTGTTTACTGGCAGCAGAGTCCACAGATGAGGAGCTGAATCAACAGGAACACCATCCTGTGAAAACATCCACGTGTCCACAGATGAAAGAAATCTACATACAGACTGTGTTTCACCTCCAGCATCAACTGGAAGAAAAGGCTGAGCAGGCTACAACAGACAGGACATTATGTGCTCAATAACTGCTTTGACAGGACTTCTACAGCACCAGTGCACACTGAACACAAAACTATCCTTTTTCAACAAAATGTGGGTTATTTTGGAAGGTTTGGAGTAACTTTAGAAAAGTGATTTTGAGAAGTCTGCAGTCATTTTCAAAGGTTTGATGTCATTTTTGACCATTTAGGAGTATTTTGTAAATTTTTTTGAGCCATTTTGTAAAAGTTTTGAATCATTTTAGACACTTTTCAGTCATTTTGGATGACTTCTGAGTAACTCTGGACAATTTGCAAGTACATTTACACAATTTAAGAGTCATACAGTTTCCTAAATGTCTATTTCAGGAGGCTACCTGCTGTTTCCTTTAAGTCAGACTGAAAGCAAAAAATCATTCATGTAAAAAGTTGGGTTTTTTTTAGAAGCTGCATTGAGCTGAATCTGGACAGCGGAGGTGGAAAATGCAAAGTTAGCAGAGAGACACAATACTTGGAAGCACAGCAGGTTGGAATAAACCAGAATAATCCTTCATCTATTGCCTCTGACTCAACAGTCTCTGAAGGAATACTTCAAAACTCTTGAGCCAAAAGACAAGTTTGAGCTTTCACTGTCCAACATAAACATGCAGTCATGTCGCAGCAAACACTCTCCATCACCTTTAATCCTCCTGAGACAGGTTTTATTGATTGTTTATTGATCTGTTGGATCTGATGGACTCGCTTTGATCTTTGCCACCAAATTTATTTATTGAAACTTTACAAAGAAACTCTGACAACAGCGGCTGTGAATTCATTCAGTTTTTCTGCTGCAGGCAACACGGTGAGGTACAACAGTAATCACACACACTGTCTCTCACACACACACACACACACACACACACACACACATAGACAGACACACACACACAGACAAACACACAGACATACACAACTTAAATCAGCATGTTGGATTAAATAAAACTCCATCCTGCGTTGTCGGAGGTGAAGAGCCTCGTCTGCTTCATTAAAGCAGACACATTTAAAACCGTGAAATTAAACTTCAGCTGTTTCTCAGGCGTCCGCTGAGTCCATTTTTCAGTTCAGCAGCCAATCACAGCGCAGCAGCGGACCGCCCGACTAAAACCAACCAAAGAAACCTGAGGCAGCTGTTTCCGTTTGCGCTCCAAGTGCCGGAGTCTCCATGTTTCACCATAAAACGATGAGAAAATAAAACGTTCACCTCCTCCGAGAAGACGCAGGATGAGAAGTGCTGCGAGCTGAGGTGAAGCCTGATTGGTCAGCTCGCGACCTGCGGCGTCCCATCAGAGCAGAGGCTCCGCCCTCCTCGTCCTCCGGTGGATCATAGTGATGTCTCGGCATCCACGACTTTCCGACCTTCTTCGTTCTCCACGTTTATCTCGACACTCGGCAGCTTGTCCTGGCTGGAAGATGCAATGAAAACAGTATCGTCACGGTGACAGACTGAGCATGTGCAGTCACCTCTGTTAAAAAAACCCTTTAACTGTGGGTGAGCTTTACTCTCATTCTGAAGGACTTTATCCAAGTTCTGTAATGTAATGGATTTTTATTTTCCTCTAAAGAACTTCAGGACATTGTTTGGTAAACCTCCAGGATCACAATGTCACAGACATCCATATTTTACGTCTCTGATAAAGATAAATCTGTCTAATCAACAAAGGTTTCAACTACATCAGCATCAGTTACTGACTGACCTCCTGCTGTCATGTAAGACCCGTCACCTGACTGACCCTCAACCTCCATTTAAAACACTTTCAAAATCATAACTGTATTTATACAGCACCTTAAAAAAAAACAGACTTTCAGGAACAATGTTGAACAAACAGGGCAAAAGGCCAAAGAAAAAAGACCAGAGAAGCAAAACAGAGTAAAACGCAGTAAAAGATTTACAAAACCAATCACCAGAGCAAACACCAGTGGATACAAATTAAACAATAAAAGCATCAAAAACACAATAATAAATTAAAGAAGTCGAATTACAGATGACAGAAGTAAAATCATAAAACAAGGGTAAATATAAGAAAAAAATAGCTATTAACCATGTTTCTCTAGCTAGTCTGTGGATGATTGTATTTACTAACCAGCCTCACTTTACGAACCCTTCCAAACCTGACTGCTACACATTTAGTGTCTCATCTTATATCCAGTACATTTTTTTATACGTACCTGAGCCAGAAGATGGCATCTCATCTTCAGATGTCAATTTGCAGCTATGTTACTGCTAACTTCAAACTTAACCTCATAAATCCTGTTTTCATGGACGCCTGATGGAAGCACCTGGACCCAGACTTTACAAGCATGACATCATTAAAACCCTTTACACGATGCTAGCTACCCTTAATTCCCTTGCAACCAGCTGGCAAGTTTCTAGCAACTACCTCCGACAACCTAGCAACCCCCCAGCAGCCACATGTGCCACCATGTGACTCTAAATCATTGTTGAACCTGCACAAATCTTTATTCTTTGGTCTCACTTCAGTTGTAAACTGTTGAATGTGTCCACCGAGTTGTGGGGGTGTACAGCATCCTTTACTACACTTTAGTTCAGAGTGAGAGAACCAACCACAAAGACCCTCAGCAGGTGATGTCACCAGGTGTTGAGTGAAGTTTACCTGGAGCAGCGTTTCAGAGGTTTGCTGCTGTCACAGTTCTTGGAAACTGATTTCCAAATGCCGCTTTTGGCCATTTCATCTGAGATGTTCACTTCTGATGGATCCCACCTGCAGAAACACAAACAGAGACACGTTAGTCTGTGCAGCAGAGTCCACAGATCAGTGTGTTCTGTCTCTGACTCACCGTCCTTTGTGGAACTTGTCGTGTCCTCGGTCGTACGGCGGTTCATCCTCCACCTCCTCCAGCATCCGTCGAGCGTCCTGCAAGACACACAGCAGAGCCAATGACAAACCTGAAGGAGACTCGAGTGGTTTTATGAGTCCAGCCTCAGTGTCTCACCTCCTTCGCCTTCTTCTTCTTGTCGTCGTCCCTCTTCTTCTTGCTCTCCGGGATCAGGTCGTCCAGCCAGCTCAGCTCTCTCTTGGTGAAGCAGAAATCCAGAAGCTTCCGGATGAACACCAGAGCCAGAACCTGCAGAGAGGAGCAGCAGCAGCAGATCAGTCACTGTTCAGAGAGAAGCAAAACAAACGTCTCGCTGCTCTCACCATCATGGGAAAGACGACGGCGGCGGCTGAGGCCTTGATGACCCAGAGGACGATGAGGCAAGTCATCTGGACCACGGTGAAGACGTGGACTTTCCACAGAGGGACGTAGCGCAGGTAGATTAGGTCTGGCTGATGTTTGGCCGGCATGCCGAACAGTTTGATGCGATCGAAGAGCTGCAGGACGGACCACAGATTAGATACACGTTAACACAGAGCGCAGCAGGACAGATGGATGGACGCAGAGACAGACCTGGATGCCTTTGAGCGAGGACACTCCCATGTAGAGGAAGACTCCGTACAGGACGGGCATCGGGATGAACTGAAGGACAGACAGAGGACATGGTTACTGTTTCATGGACACAGGTTTAAAGTTAACCGTCTCTGTGAGGACTCAGGTGAGACGCTCACCTTGAGGACGGACGTCATGAAGACAGAGCAGCCCATCAGGGCGAAGATCATGAAGCCGGTGACCCGCTGCTCTCTGATGCCCAGGAACTTGGGCTGCTCGCCGGGCGCTGCGCACTCCGACTCCAGCTTCAGACTGTTGACGTGGGAGATGGAGAGCACCGTTGCCGCCACGAACCAAGGCAGGCCCATGATGGAGCATATGCCCAGCATCACCGCCACCACCAGCAGGTCCAGGTGGTAACCGCAGCCTTTCTGCAGGCGAAACACACGGCGGGAGGGAAAGTTAACCACCCGTCAGAGACTAGCTGTGACTGAGCATCGGTCGGTGCTCACCTTCAGCCTGTTCTCCTTCCTGTTGATGATGACGGCGGTGATCTGCTGGTCCATGAAGATGAGGATGGTGCACAGCAGAGCAGGGACAGCTGCCGCCAGCAGCGTCCACCAGGGGTTCGGTCCCAGTGGGGAGATGAGCCAGCCTCGAGTGTTGGATGTGGGCTGAAGATCATAACAGTGTTAGGACACTTGGTAGAGCCCAGCTAAGGTCATGATATAAGTGCTGACCATTTATGCCTGACGAAACCACCTGGGAGAACAGCTACACTGAACAAGCGTTTAGACCTATAAATGGCTGTTGTGTCAGATTTAACAAGCAAACTCCTATCATCTAAGGCACTGTTATACCATTAAAAGCCCAACAGGCAGCTAATGGAGACTGATCAACTACCTCTGAAAACCTAGAAACCACCCTTAACACCTTTAAAGCCCACCTACTAACCATCAGCTCTCTTGAAATCACTCTTAACACCTTTAAAACCCAGCCAGCAACCATTAGCGCCCAAGAAAAGAGCTAGCAAACCCCTAGCAACCATGTCCAAAATAAGATAAAAATAAAAAAAATACAATCAGTACAGAAAAAAATAAAGTTTTAAGAAGACAGATTGATAGTGAAGATGCTATTTGTTTTTTTTCTCCTCAATTTATAACATTTAATGACAAAGTTTCATCAAAAAATGCCAAAAGAGTCTGAAAGAAATGCTCAGTATAAAAAGGTTGTAATTTTCAGTTTAGACAACAATGTCAAGTATTTTCTTTGATGTGAGGATTTGAAGCTGATTTGATGAAGACATAAGAACACTGTTTGTCTGTCTCTTTACAGAACGGCTTCGATAATAAACTTTAAACTAACATTTGCTGAGTGTCAAGGTCGTTGGCCTCATGTTTACCCTGCAGTAATGAAGGCAACGGCAAAACATCTCTGCACTCAGTTATGTAAGGTGCAATCACATGAAGAGCTCAAATAAAGTCACTGATAGGAAGCGTCCTCTGACCTGTTACCACACTGAGCTCACAGCAAACCAAACTCAGCTTTTATCTGACAACTCAGAAACATGATAGTAAATCAAAATGCACAGAGAGCAGAGAAGCAAACCGCTGCAGGCTAAGAAAAGCAGACAAGTGTTACCTCGAAACGGTCCGGTACATCGAGTTTGGGTGAAGGGATTCCCACCAGATAGTCCACCAGCACCATGATCATGATGGTCAGGAAGACGGCGAAGTCGCTGATGGTCGATCGAACCTGCAAAAACATCCTCATCAGCGTTTTGTCTCGTTGCCAGTAAAATGTTGTGATGACTTCTATCTGTCAGACGACGACATCCTGATCTCAAGCTCTGGTTCATGCACGTATACTGAACTGAAATCTAACTGCAGAAGAAAATCTGAGACGTTAAACAGAAGCTTCCATCAGTGTTTCTACTGAATTGTGTTCAAACCTGTAGAAATTTTGTGTTTTATGTTTAAGTCTTTCAAAGAGACCAAAACAGGTTCATCTGATTTGGGCACAAATTTTATATTTTGCATTTGACCAGTTGGTAAAGTTTTACACAGGGATCCATAAGATTCACAGCAAATAAATGTCTAATGAAACTGAATAACGCCTCTTTTTAAACGGCACTGAGTGGAAAAAAAACAACCTGCATTATCATCAGAATCTGTTTCTTTACAACTGTGAGAGTAAACCAACAAACAGACCTTGGTGGGGAAATATCTCTTGGTCTTGAACTGTTTGAGGAAGGAGGAGAGGAAGAAGGTCGTGAAGAAGAGGATGGCGGACCAGAAGAAGACGTCGGGGACGTACGGACCACCGTGGCTGCAGGCCGGACCAAAGAACTCTCCTTTTAAATCCAGACAATCCTGCAGACAGATAAAGAAGCTCAGAGCTGCAATTCCTCTGACGTCCACCAGATGCTGCTGTGCAAAAAAACTGAAGTGAAGTGAATGAAAAAACCTCCATATGCACTGTTTATGCTTGGATTTCAGCAATCAGCAGATTCACTCAGTTTCTTCTCACTTCAAAATATTTACGGAGAACTTTAAGGTCCTCATTTCTACATAGTTTTGCTTCATGTCCATAAATGCGTGTAATATACAGACAGTGAAATGCATTTCATTACAAATGGAAACTTCACCACAGCCGTATGAGAGAGGCTAATCAGAGGCTAATCAGAGGCTTTTACTGTCCAGTTTTATAAATCTGTGCATGAAGCATTTCTGCCACTACAACAAGATCATGAATACATGGAGAGAAATAAAGGAGGAGGTTATGTTGCCACATGAGGAGCCAGTTTAGTAAAATATTTTGTATGAACCACAGTATGGTACACAGTTAGCATGTGCTACACCCGCTAAGAGTCCTCTGTTATCACACATTTACATGATTTGACTGTCAAACAGCCTGCTAGCCAGTTAATTTTTTCAACTTCCTGGTGGACACAGTTGGGTCTCTCTGTAATCCACCACAAGAGTTAAACATTTTCAACCAACTAGAGGCAAATTCTGGACCTGAAAAAACTAGAGGAGGAGTTTTGAAAACTCAAAGAAACGAATGGATTTCTGGTTGATTCATGAAATGAGGCGTCTGCTCGTCTTGTAACTTCTGGTCTCTCAAGTCTGGGACCTGATCGGTGGTTTTGTCCACATTTTCTCTACATGTCTCTTTCCACACAGACAGACCTTGTGCTGCATGAAATCACTCAGATTGTTGTTGTTTTTAACCAGCTTCTGATTCAAGTTTGTTATGGGTGTGTCAAAGTGAAGAAAGGTTTACTGATGAACACTGCTGAGAGATCAGATGTTCAGCATCTGGAACGTTTTATGTAGTGACCCAACGAGCAGGGAACGTTCTCACAACATCTGTACCTACAAGTTTCTACAAGTTCTAACAACATTTTGAAAGTTTTAATCTCATATTCAAAGACTGTTTCAAGGATATTTATAATTTCCAGCTGTTCCTATGAGCTTAAAGACTTTGAGCAGCAACATTAAGAGGATGCTGCCAGAAACACAGGTTACGTTCTATGATAACAAAGGAGGAACGTTCTCAAACAAACATGGAAAAAATGCTTTCCAGATGTTTATCGAGGCCTCAGATGATTTTAAAAAACAAAAATGTTCTTGGAATGTAGTATATTAATAAAAGTGGAACATTCTTTCTACAATATTCTGAGGATGTTATGGGGATGTTTTTGATGTAACACATTCCGAAACGTCCTTCTACAAGACGTTCTCCTCGTGATAACAAAGGACGGAGTATATGGATGAAAATTTGTTCTCTGCTGGAAACTATTCTGTGTCCAGAATAACTTGAAACCCGTCTAAAATGACAAAAAATAAGTTCAGAATGACTGAACGTTTGTCCCAAAACAACTAAAACATGGTCCAGTTGAACTTGAAATCACTCCAAAATGAGTCAGAAATTGCCCAAAATAAAACAAAAATTCTTCCAAATGACTCATACGAACATTTTGGCATTTCAAAAAAGCAAAACCTGGAACCTTTACCCAGCTGATCAACCTGACTTTAGGTCTTCAAAACTATAAGGTCCAAACATTAGGATCAAGAACAATTAGCACTTCTCTCATCGCTTTGACGACTTATTTTTCTGCACTGATGTGACATCTCTCACAGTTTGAACCAAAGAGCTTGTGTTTAGTCTTTTCTTCATGTCACTGCCCCTCATTAGCCAGAAACTATGAGACCAAACAACAACACGACATCAGCGAACGGGGATATTTTTCTTGAATTTGCTGCTATTCCATCTTCCTTCCAGATAACTAAACAACCTGCAGCTTTACGAGGCGCTCTCACTAAAACATGAAGACTCATCCAGCATCGATAAGGCAACACGTCGAAGGCACATCAGAAATAAAATGTTAACGTTAAAGCTTCTGCGTCTACAAAAACTCCCTCTGTGCTGTTCAGACCTTCACGCCCAGCTGCTCCCACTCGATGCTTTCCGACGTCAAGTTTCTGCTGCTCCAGATCTGCTCGACTTCAGCCGAGGCGTTGGTGGGCGGAGAACACTGACACCTGAAACGCAGCGACAACAGGTGAGTCGACTAACGGCAGAGAGACCGACTGAGGATGTTGTTTTTCTGCTTATATTCAATCAGTGTGGTATTCTTTTAGATATTCATATCATGCCTTTATTATTATATGACTATAATAATTCCACATACAATTTAAAAAGCTTACAGTCTTTGAATGTCTAAGTGTCATTTCAGATAATTGCGTTGCTGCATCGTCTCAGATTCTGTTCGGCGTTTACTTATTTGTTATTTGGGACCCAAAACGGAGAGAATTTTATGCTGGATTTTGAGAATTTTTATGTTGGCAATTTGTTTATTTTCATTCTTTAAAACAACAAATCTTACCTGGAAAGACATTTTAAAGGTTCAGTGACTCCAGAAATAGAAGTCCTACAGTCTGAGAATTTCAAACTAGCAGAAACTGGAACCTTGTCTTGCCATACTCGCTGCACATTAAATTCAACCAATGTAAGAGGCATCAAAAGTTGATGAAATGTCGACTAAAGACTGTAATATTAGTAGGAAATATGGATCCATCTATAAATACGCACTTACAAGAACGTTCTGGGGCCACAGTATCACCACTGATTGAACATTTTGCACTTTTTTTTTAAGGACCAATAATTTAAAACGGGCCTTTGCTGAAGTTGTTCTAAAATATGAAACTTGGCCAAAATAACAAAAAAAAATGTTTTAAATGATTTAAACTGGTCCAAAATTAACCAAAAATTAACAATCCGACATAAAGATTATCCAAAAAAACAAAACGGGTCCAAAATCACTCAATATTGTCCAAATTGACTTATTTTGTCATTTCAAAAAAGCAAAACCTTGAACCTTGTCTTGCCATACCTGCTACACATTTAATTCTCCTGATGTTAGAGGCCTTAGTAGGAAATATAGACACCTTCCTATATCTACAGCGACAGGAAGTTTCTGGGGCCACAACACCACAGTAGTTTGAAGATTTCGTCACGTTTTCAAGGACCAACAGTTAAAAACTTGTCCTCTGCTGGAGTCCTTCAATCATTTGGATCTGGTCTGTTTTAAAGTATTCTGTCTGTGTCCAAACTAAACTTCATTTCTGTGGGAGTTTTGGCTTCACAGTTTATTTTGATGGTGAAAATACATAAATTCAAAAATCTAAAAACAGATTACATTTTCGGCATTTAGCCCAAAACAAAACAGACCATAGTTTTGGGTGCCAAATAAATAAGTAAACGCCGAACAGAATCTGAGACAGAGCAGCAACATATTCTGTTTCAGTGGACCCAGATTTCAGTCCAACTGAAAGGCCAGTACGAGTGCATTCCCCAGATGTTTGCAGATGTGTCCTTACGTGTAGTTGGTGAGGTTGTCCAACACGTTGTGCGTGTTGATGGGGTAAACCTCCCAGAGGTGCACCAGCTTCTCCAGGGCCTCGTAGATGAAGATGATGCAGATGAGGGCGGCGAAGGCCTCCTCGGTGAAGCGGGTGATGTAGCAGACCAGAGAGCTGGCGTCGGTGGCGACCAGCAGCAGGCAGAGGAAGGCCGTCCACAGGCCGATACTGGTCCTCAGAGACAGGTAGGACAGATTGTAGTCACTGCAGAACAAGGAGAAGGTGAGGTTAGGGTCTCTGAAACATCCAGTCAGGATGTCAAACATTGGTTTCACTTTATTTTAAAGAAAATCAAAGACTGAAACTGCCTTTAGACACAAACTCTGGGATTATAGTCACACAGAAACTAAGCTGTGACAGGAAAATGTGTCATAAAAAATTAACCCATTTCAGTCCCGACACAAAACAACATTGTTAGAAAATATTATATAATATATAACATTTGTAGAAAATAAACGGGAGGACTGTGATGTAGGGATGCACAATTAATCACACATTAAATCACAATCAAATGATTGACTGTGATACTGACGTTTAAAAAGCTCAGCTCATAGAAAAGTTAAACAACCAGCTGGTTTCCGGTAAATGTGGCATAAGACTGGTTGACTGTGAGGCATTTAGGGAACATCTGAAAACTGGAGTGTCTGTTGATAAGCAAATGTTTAGCCAATGAGGAGCCAGTTTTATAGACATACTTTAACACCAATGAGCCATAAGTCAAAGGCATAAATAAGAGCAACTGTGAACTCCAAACACTTTAAGATTCTGGTTTAAACCAGTAGAAATACTGTTATCCTATAGATCTCGCTGTTATTTGAAAGAAAAATTATTTATATTAAGGTTTGAAACATTAATGAATTATTTTTAAACTGTTATGTTTTAGATTTCCCCCATTTGTTAAGCTACAGATGGAATTTTTAAATTACGCGCCGCCATGGAGCTGCAGTGACAGAAGTCCAGACTTCTGTGTGTATTTGAGCATGTATCAGTGTTATCAGTGGCCTGATGCACAGCAAACACTGACTCAGGAGAAACCGTCTCTATAAAGAGCAGCAGCCTCCTCGCTGTCCTCATCCACAGACATGATGTCTCGGTGTCTCCCGGTACTGCTGCTGGTGGCTCTGGCCTGCCTGGCCCGGTTCGGCTCGGCTCAGCCCGCCGACACCCGGGCCGAGCTGAAGAAGGCACAGGCCGTCCTGGAAGAGCTGAAGGCCGAGAAGCGAGGTGAGGCTGATTCTCCAACAGGAACCAGCAGCCTTAAGCTCACTCAGAATAGACACGAGAGCTGCTTTCAAGGGTCAGCTCACCCAAATTACAAACAGCGAACCCGTCAGTGAGGCAACTGAAGGGTGACTGTAAAAAAAACAAAAAAACAAAAAACAAAAAAAAACTAAATGTGGCAGCAGGGTGCCAGAAATATACGGAAAAAGATGAAAGAATGCTGTAATGTCCAAACTGTAAAAGGTGTGAAGATAACAGCAAATATCAGTAAAATTAAGATGTTATGGCCTGTTTAAATACAGCACAACTGGAACTTTGCAGTCACACATTGTGAAAGCACAAACTGCTATTTGTAAAACTACAGATTTTTGATGTAGACATTATTTACAGTTATGCCCTTTTTTAAAAAAAAGAAAACATTTAAATAAAATGATTAAATGTGATTTTATTAAATATTATCTAAGAAAATCGGTAACAGTTTAAAAATATAAACAACTTTCAGTCCTTAATATACATAACCTTTATTTCAAATAACAAATATCTGTAAAATACCTTTTTCTTTTTTTTTTGCTTGTTTAAAAAGAGAAAAATAATTACAGTCTAATGTAAAAGACCAAATACATGTACTGGAGCTCCTCAGGTAGACTCCGGTCAGCTTGGATGTTTGATTTTCTTCTTGTGTAACCAGCAGAAGTTATCACGGTGCTAAACAAAGTTCCAGTTTGGTTTTAATGTCGATGTTCTCTTTTAACAGCAATGACCGAGCGTTTGGATGTGGCTGAGAGGCAGCTAAAGAGTGTCAGAGGTGAGAAAAGATAGCTCCCATATTTAGCATTTGGGGGAAGAAATACAGTGATTAAATATTTTAAATCGCTAAATAAATGCCTGAAAGCAAGACAGGTGAGTGGAGGACTTTATTCTTTGCTGTGCAGATACACCTAAAGTTGCGTTCGCTGCCTCGCTCGGAGGAAACGGCCTCGTGAAGACGACGTCTGGAAACAAAGATCTTGTCTACAAGGACGTCCTGACCAACGTGGGTGGAGCGTACAACAAAGACACAGGTGAGTTACCCAGAGTGTGCACAAGTTTCCAGAAATTTGGACAAAGAAATATGAATTAGTGGGTTAATGGACAGCTGGTGGAGCTAACTGTCCAGTTGGAAATATGATGGAAATTTGGAATTTCTGTTGGGAAAGTTACAATTTCTTCATCGTTCCACATCCACCTGACATTTTTTTGTGTTATTTCCTTTCATTTTCACTCATTTTTAAAGGCACAAATGTAAATAAAACCTAAAGAAGGCTGATTGAGCCAAGTGTGGAAAAGCCCTCATGAACCACCAGACCTTTCTGGGTCTTAGTAGTTCAATAAAACCGCTCCAGGTTCCTTGTTTTCCTCTTCAGGACACCTGACACCGTTTCCACTTTCAGTTCGAAGTCAACCCTCCCCTTCGGTTTCCCTCCAGGTGAATTCACTGCACCAATTCGTGGAGTCTACTACATCCGCTTCACTGCCAACGCCCCCACCGACTTCACCATGAGTGCTGTGCTCTACAAAAACGACGCACAGGTCCAGCTGATCACCCACGAGCAGCCGTCCGGTCAGGGCAGCGACACGGCGTCCAACGGCGCCACCTTCATGCTGGAGAAGGGCGACAAGCTGAAGATGGTGCTGTGGGAAAACACTCAGATCTGGGACAACAGCAACCACCACAGCACCTTCAGTGGCTTCCTGCTCTTCCCCATGTAAGGACGCTGCAAGTAGTCCGACTTCTACCAATAATAATACGACAACTTTATTCATATGAGGCTGAAAACCTACTAAAAAATGGGCTGCACGATTTTAGTAAAATAAGCTTTTAAATGCTCGTAAAGTCTTGTGTCATCAGCATAGAAATAATATTGGGGTTGCCTGGTTTAATGGCAGAGAGTTGGGACAAAACAGAAGAGGACCGAGGACGGAGCTCTGAGGTACTCCTGTTTAGAAACGCAGTAGGTGATGAGGAAATAAAAACAGTTGACGTGTTAGATATATTTATAGATGTGTATTTTTGAAGTATCACAGCAGAAAGAGTTAATGGAAACTGCAAAATTAGAGGGTTTTGGTTTTTGACTTGTTCTTAATGCGAAGTAAAAAAACAAAAACCCAAAAAATGTTTGCTAAATAAGTTCTACAGTAGAAAACACTTCAGCCACATGAAGCTGTTTTTGCTTCTAGAGACTCCAGACAGGATTAATCATTGCCGACACAAAACAATAATTACACCCTTCCAATGTAAATAAGACTAATTCACATTTTATTTTGTCACTTTCTTTTGTTTTTTTTTTTTTGCAAAATTTCAAAAGTTTGCTTCAAATTTCCTTGAGAATGATACAGAACCATGTCTGGTAATCGACAATCTGTCTTTCTTGAAGGAAGGTGAACTTGTTTTTTTTATCTTAACCAAGTTTAACCTCCTGTAAATTCCCACCCCTAACTCAGTAATATTGATTACAGCTGTTATGACCTCTTGTCTATCTGAAAACTTGGCTCACCCTCATGATTTGAATTCCATCCGGGGAAATCCTTGCTCGTCCTTCTACCTGTTTTGTTGTGAAAATTCCGTCTTACAGGTTCTTGCTGGTCTAACAGATGAAAACTGTAGTAAAAGCAGCCTAATTACCCATTAGCAGCTCCAGTTTGCAATGTAGCCACAAATATGTAGACAGCTGTCACTGGAGTACTGTGACACTGAAGAAAACATAAAAGCATGAAGACTCTCAGGCAGGTTTTGCAGCTCTTGTCTTACGGAGGTTTATTACAGATGGACGCTTTTAACCTTGTTTTTGTTTTTTTTTTTAGTGCATTTCCTCGAAAATATATAACAGCAGACACTGCACCAGTTTCAGCAGCATCATCCTTCAGATTTACTTTAACTTTTGATTCTTGGTGTTAAAGGGTGGACGAACGGCCGGCAGACCTCACCGTTGAAGACGAGCTGAAGGAACTTCAGGAGTCGCTGACGCAGCTTCAGACTGAAAACTCCGGTAAGAGTCAACAGGTTTCTATTCCACACTGCTTATTTCATATGTTCATCTTCACTTTATACATTATTATGCCCAGGTTTTTCCTCACGTGCAGTACACCCCCTTACTGTGTGCAATTTATCTCCTTTACGTGCAATAATTATCATATTGTACCATATTTTATTGTATTTTATTTATCTTTTCTATTTTTTAAGTTCATGTTTTCACTGTGCTAATCCCCACTGCAGCATCACACGAACCTCGTTACATAAGTGATTCGGTCATCGTCATCCAGACCAACTGCTCTGGTTTCACTGGGTTACTCAGTGTTACTGGTCATGTTTGTTGTTCTGTCTGTCGGCTGAACTCTGGTCTCTGTTGCAGCACAGATCTGGATGTCAGTGACATGAATTGATTACATAAAGGTAATATATTTATCTGTGTGTTCAGGTGTCAAAGAGAGGCTGGACGCCACAGAGAAGGAGCTGAAGGCAATCAGAGGTTGGTCTCAAACTATTTTCAACAAAATCTTACAAGTGATGGAACGGCAACACGTTGAGGTGTCAAGACGAATAATGCATCGATATCTATCTTTAGTCTAAATCAGGGTCTTAACCTTGATTTTTTTAAAAATTAGATTGTGTTGTTTTAATATTTATTATTTTATTGTTTAAAAACATTTTATTTATTTTTTATTTATTTTCTTACATTTTTAATTTTCATCAATTTAGTGTTTCCTTTATATATATTTATAATATTATATTTATTTAACATTTATTTCATGTCTATTTATTTTATTCAGGACATTTCTTTCTTGTTAATTTATTTTATTTGTATTTTATTGGATTGGATCATTTACATTTTTTTATGTATTTGTTACTTTTCATCTAATATATTGCTTATCTTTTTACTTTGTTATTTTATTTATGATTTTTTTCTTTACATATTTTTTACTTCCATACGTACGATGTAGGCATATTAAATACCCTTTGAGTCTACTGTAGCAGCGTATCTGTGTGCAGGTTTGCCTCTCTGTGCACCTTTTTCTAACCGGGAACAAGAACATGACTGTAATCCTCCCTGTGAGCCGGTCGTAGTGAGATGCTGCTGGGATTTAAAAGCACCACAGTACTAATGGAGGACAGGAAACGAGCCTTTTCTGCTGCCGTTAGCTGAGTTTTATCTCCTGTTGAGGAGCGCTCTCATGTGGCTGTTATTCACATTCTCACAAAACTGGAACAAATACAACTGAGGCGACACTTTTACTTGTTGTATGATGATGTAGGGATAGTAACCCTAAAGACAAGGACGCTGAACACTACAAAACATACTGTTATCTTCAGTTACACTGCTTTCACGGCTTTCCCTCAGATGTACCGAAGGTGGCGTTTGCAGCTTCTCTTGGAGGTGACGGCCTTCAGAAGACGACGTCTGGACAAGTCAACCTCATCTACAAAGACGTCCTGACCAACATCGGACAGGCGTACAACTCTGAGACAGGTCGGAAACTCAAACCTTACAGACATGACACTTGTTTCTATGATTCCTCCTGCGTAACACTCAAACTGATTTAACTCCTCCTCCCCCAGGTGTGTTCACAGCACCTGTTAATGGAGTCTACTACATCCGCTTCACCACCAACGCCCCCACCGACTTCCCCATGAGCGCCGTGCTCTACAAAAACGGCTCACAGATCCAGCTGATCACCCACGAGCAGCAGTCCGGCGAGGGCAGTGACACGGCGTCCAACGGCGCCGCCCTGCAGCTGCAGGCGGGCGACAGACTGTCCCTGAAACTGTGGCACAACACTCAGATCTGGGACAACAGCAACCACCACAGCACCTTCAGCGGCTTCCTGATCTTTCCCATGTGAGGATGAAGCTTCGGCTGCACCCAGACCAAAGTCTGACGGATAAGAAAAAAATCAACAATAAAAACTGAAACATCAGCTGCTTCTGAGTCTTTGATTGGTTCGAGGATTGTCATGGCTGCAGAGAAGCTGCAGCAAGTGACTCTTTGGCTTTTTTTTTAACTTAAATTGCCTCAAAGTTTCAGCTCCAAACAACAAACAGTGAAAAAACAACCAGTGTGTTGTGATGTTTTCACTGCTGCGCTCAGCACATTATTAGAGACATAACTGCAGCGTGTCTGACGGGCTTTTCCTGCTAAAATATGACATTTAAAAAGCAGTGTGATATAACCTGCTGGAAAAATGGAGCAGGTTAAAAAATTAAGGATTTTATGTAAGTGTTACAAAATCACAAAAAGCCTTATTTAATCCTCATACACCAAAACAATAGGAGCTGCTGCACCCCTGAAAGCTCAAATGCACAATCTACACCAATTACACCGCTGATCCAAAATCCCACAAATCACGATGTGACCCAATTGGCTTTAGCGCTTACTTAACTTCATTTATAAAACACATCTGTGTCGTATTCAGGGTCGGTTATGACGCCACTGATCGACATTAGAGTTTTAATTTGGCCGTATCGCCTGCAGGGGGAGGCATCCGTCCTGAAACAATGCTGGAGACAGTTGCATTCAGATGGGATTAATTATTCCCTGATCATTTAACTCTAGCTTTGCCAGACACTCAGCTGGACACACAGGAGCAGAAAGTCAAAGAACATAAATAAACCTCCGTAGAAAAGTGATCCAGTGGAAGCCGTCGTTACAAATGCACTGTACGAGGCTGGTGGCTAAAAACTTTACAATTTCACAACATTGAAGACCGACACGGATTCCTGATAGTCTGTCAACTGCAGTCGATTATGATTTTGTTATTTGTCCAAACTCATTATTTCTTCATATGTTCCCATTTGTCTGAAATAAAACGCACACTTTACAAGAGCTCGATGGTGCAAATTTGGCTGCTAGAACATACAGTATGGTCTAAAAGCAGTTTGGACAAAGATAAAAATGGGTGCTGGACTTGTGAAGAGTCTCACGGGACTCATTCAGGTGTGTGGAGCTTTCAGTAAAATAATAATAATAATAATAATAAAAAAGGATCGTTTAACATTCTCAGTTGGTTTTCAATAAGAATGCAGTGTTCTGACATGAAAAACAGCTGATAACAGATAATTTGCCTGCTATTAATGGCAAAAATCTGACTAAATGTCAACAAAGTCTTGCCATAAACAAAAAAAAAATCATAAGAAAAAACAAAAAACAAACAAACAGGAAGCAAAGACGTTCCAGCAAGGACGCCAGAATAAAAAAAATAGAATCATGAGATCCTGTCACTTTCAAAATTGTAAAAAAAACAAACAAACAAACAAAAACAAAACAACAACAACAACAAATGAACATTTATTAAAATAAAGATTTTTTTATGTGGACATTATTTACAGTTTTAACCTGTTTTGTTGTTTTTTGTTACGGTTGCTATATAAGATACTTTCCTCCCTCTCCTTTTCTTCTTTACTAGGACTACTTCAGTCATTTAAAAATCTATAAAGTAACAGTAAATTGATTTTAAAAAATTAAGCGTTCAAACTGTTAAAAACAAACTTAACTACATGACAGCAGCTCATTAAGCCTCTAAACCCCCAAACCTGCCAGTAAGATTAGGAGAGACTGAAGTGAATGTGCCTTTTTTTTTTTTTAAATCACCAAAATCAAACTGTTTTTCAGTCAAAACGGCAAGAACGGAAAGAAATGTCAGATTATCAACTTTCCAGTAATCCTGGTTTGCAGCTGATTGCTTCTGTGTCTTTGTGCTTGACTTCATTCTGCTTCTGGTCTTTTTATTGCTGTTTTGCGGCTCCTATTAGTTTTTAGTAATTTTACGGTCTTTGTTGTTGGCTAGTTTCCAACCTTTTAAAGTTTAACAGCGTTGCGGTAATAAAATCTGTGACTCTTATTACCTGCATCCTGCAGTAAACATGCTCCATGAGTTTTAATTACTCTTTTTATGTTTTTTTATTTGTTAATTATTCTATAAAATATGCATCTGAACTCTTTCTGATTGATGTAATTTGATTAATTAGATTTTATTCTAATGTTTTTTTTGTATTTTATCTTTTACGTGTTTCCTTTTGTTCAGGACCTTGGCTCTCTGAAGTCGAGACATCACTTCCTGTGTGGCGCCGCTCCGGCTGCTTCAGGTATCAAAGTAAACATCGTCTTGATGACTCACCGGCAGAACCTGAAGAGGATCTTCTCAAACACCAGAACCGGACCGGTGCTGCCGAGGATGGTGAGAGGCTGACCGGCAAACACCGAGTAGGCCACGCCCGTCATAGACGCCCCGAACAGAGACTCTATGGCGCTCTGCCAGAGAGAGGAACAGGTCACGAATCAAAGAATAACACATAAAATATCAGAAGAGTCCCTACAAATATAAAATACAAATATAATTTCTGAAATTGACAAATACGTCTCAGAAATGTTTAAATAAAAAGTCAAAAAAGAATGAAACATGTCAAAAGATTTTGAACAAAATGCTTAAAAGATATTAATCAAATGTAAAAAAAAAAATATAAAAAATGGTCAGAGCTGCTGAAGTGTCGGTTATGCTATTTAATCATAAATATGAATAAAATATTGTTAAAAAGAAATATACATATACATATATATAAGTAAAAATCCTGAAAATGTTCCAAAACTGTTAAAAAAAAATATGAACTAAAAGTTTTAAAAAAATAATATGCCCCAAAAAAATCTAACAAAATGTTCAAAAGATGTTAATCAAATATCCCAAAAAATATAAAAAGAGATTTCTGGATCTGAATGTTTTTAAGATGTTTTCTGTAAAATTCCACATGTTTTTCTTGGAAACCATTTTTACTAAAAGATGTAAGAATAAAACGTCTCCAGCTGATTACTGACACTAAGACAACAATATTTTAGTATTTGCTTTGTAGTTAAATGACCAAAAGTAAAATAAGGAGCTACGCATATATTTTGGTTGATTTCTGAATCATCACTGGTCTGAAGAAAAAAATAATAAAAATCCCAAAATCTCAGTTTGTAGTGATTTGGATTAAACTCATCCTGAACATGTTAAAAGAGTTCAAGCGTTTGTAGGACAGAACGCATTCTTACTCTTTGTTTTAATCTGAAGTCTGCGTTTACAGACTCCTTCTATTCAGAGTGTTTTATTTTATTTCTTGTGGCTCCCACAATGTGAGATCTTACTATGCTTCCTCCGGTGGCTTCTCCCAGCAGCCCTCCGAACGTGATGACGGGCGACATGCAGGCGCAGTACAGGAAGAGGATGGAGGCCAAACACTGCAGGTTGGCGGCGTCTCTGATGTCGCTCCACATGAACGGAGCTTTTCTCCTGATGTCGTTCACCAAACCGCCGAAAATCCTGCCGGACGCGAGAGGGATTGTTCATCACTTCCAATCACAACGGTTTCTCTCTGTCCTTCAGCTAAAACATCTCACATGTTCATTTTGAGTCGTCTCTGTTGTCTGACACACACACGGCAAAGAAATCCTTCAGTTCAGAGAGAAACACTTTGTTAACTTTCCAGGAGTCCCAGTTTGCAGCCCACTGGTTCGCTCTCTTTGTGTTTGATTTGTGTCTCTTTCTGTCTTTTTGTGCGTCTTCGTGGCTGCTTTGAGGAATTAATTGTGTATTTGCAGTTGCGAGGTTAGTTTTCATTGCTTTTGTGTCTATTTATGATCACTTTGCGTCTCTTTTAACCTCTTTCTGGTCGTTCTCTTATTCATTGTGCTGGTATGTCTTTGGCTTTTCTTTGTATTTGTGTTAAACAGATCTTTCACATTCAGTTTTAACTCAATTTAAGTCTTCATGAGGGCTACTGAAGTTGAACAATTCAAATCTGAATGACTCTAATTCAACATATTTCTGTGCGTACCAAAGCTTGAGATGATCTACCTGATTATCACCTGAGCAAAGGCGCCCACAGGTTCACTCATCTCCACTGGCTTTGATTAGTTATAAAGGAGTAAAACTTATTTGCTGATCATGTATTAAGTTTTGCTCGAAGACGCCTGGTAGTGAACAAACCTGCCGGTCCTCTGCAGCTCCGGTCCTGTCTGATGCTCCGCCTCCTTCACCGTGTCAGAGTAGTGGGCGGAGCCATTGGGGACGGACGGCATCTTCCTCTTCTCCTGCAGAGACATCACCTCTGTTACTATCATTACTCTGCCATCAGACCGGTTCAGGTTTCCTGATGTCGGCGCTCTTACCTGAGACGGGACGCTCTTGGGCGGTTCGATTCTGATGCTGGGGTCCCATTCACCTGGAGGCAGCACGGTCACCTGATCCAGGAACTCATCGATCCCGGACAGCAGGTCGTTCCTGTCCTTCGCCTTGTAGGCCACGTCATGGAAAATCTGCAAAAGAACAGCAGAGTTAAAAAAATTTCCCAAAAAGGAACAAAGGAAGAGTTGCACAAAATGTCAGAAATCAGGCACAAAAGGTTCACAAACCGCTGGTGAACATGCAGGTGATCAGGTCGGCCAGCAAGAAACCTTGATTTTAAGTGTTTTGGAAAGATTACGAGTCATTTTAGACAAAACTGAGTCATTTGGAACAATTATGAGTCACACTCGAGATATTTAGAGTCAGTTTGGAGTAAACAGATTAATTTAGAACAATTTTCAATTAAAACATTTCAAGTACTTTGAAGCAATTTCCAACTAATTTCAGACAAAGTTTTGAATTGTCAATTTTTGAGTCATATTGGAGAAATTTTGAGTCCTTCTGGACAAGCAGAGTCATTTAGGACAAATCTGTATCATTTAGATTTTTTTTTATTTTTTATTTTTTAGATATTCTGATCAATTTTTTTTTTTTTTTAAATGTTTGGCCACATTTTGAGTAATTTAGGACAAGTCTCTATCATTTAGGAAACATTTTAAGTCATTCTAAAAAGCCATTTTGGACAAATCTTTGCTCATTCTTAGCAATTTTTGAGTAATTTTAAAGTCAGTTTAAACAGATTTGGAGTCATTCTGTGCAGTTTTCAAGGAATTGCGAACTAATTTAAATCATTCTTGAAAATTGGACAAATTTTGAGTAAATTGGACAAATTCTGAACACTTCAGGACAGCATTTGAGACACTGCAGACATATTTGGATTTATTTGACAGTCTGAGTAACTTTTGGATGTATTCTGAGTCATTCTGATCAAACTCCAGATCAGAGGTAGAGGGTGTAAAGTCATCACGACCGAAGGAAACACAGCAGACACATTAATGGAAATACTGCAGTATGGAATAAACCGGGCTCATCCTTTATCATACTGATCAGACTTTCAGAAATCAGTGCAGAATTTCTCAGACAGCAGGTCCTCCTGCTATCCTCATCCTGTGGTCTCACCTCGTCGGTCATCAGCGTGGCGATGGAGCGTCCGATCTCGTGGTACTGTGGACCTTTTCCAAACGGACCGAGCAGCAGAAAGAGGAACCTGGACGGACGAACACAGAGTCCAGATGTGACTCCGGCTGCGTTCACATCACAGCCCTTAACACCTTTAATATTTTTGTAAAATCAACATAAAATGCACCCAAAGTAACTCTTGGTCTCCTTTGAGAGTCTGCTGCTGTTCACACCGAGTCACAGAAGTTTAAATATATTGAAGGCTTTTGCTGCCACTAAGGCTGAACAATATACACAAAAAAAAAAAATCACTTTGCCATTAATTTTTGACAAAAACTATAAGATAACTCATGCTTTTAGTGGGACAAGTCTTTTTTGCATGTCTTATACAAATATAAAAATGCACAAAACAAGTGATCAAAATGAGTTCACTGCAGACTCACAGACAGTTTTGGGAATTTAGAGCAGTTTAAAAGCATTTTCTAACATCTCAAAGGTCTACACTGTCATCACAAACCCTGGGAAAGCTTTTTTTTTCAACCTTGTTTTTCTCAGTTCAGGTCTTGGGTTGATGGCTCACACTGACGTCTATGAGTGACATGCACACATTTAACTGACATGAGAGCTGCATGCTGACAGGAATAATAATAATAATGTCATAACATAAAGCCAAATCACAAACATGGATGACATCTGTGGCAGAGTATTTTTATGGGCTGTGAGGAGCCGATATTCAATGATTAGACCAAAAAATATTCGGGATCGACCGATTCTCAGCCTGGTTTAATACTGAGGCTGATATCTGTTTTATTTTTTTTCCAATCATCTGTATTGTTATTTGTATTGACTTTGGCTCTGGTGCAGCCTCCTCTCTCTCTCTATCGTCAGCTGATGCTGCGTCCAGTTTCATCCCGGTCAAAGTCAGTGACCGTGAGCCAGGAGCAATGAGCAGCTGAGCATCAGCAGCGACAGGTGAGCGTGTGGTTCACCTGGTGGGCACCGGGACCTCGGTGAGGCCGGTCAGCAGCACTGCGGGGGCGAGACGAACGAAGGCGATGATCGGCCGCTCCAGGAAGTCCACCTCACCCACCAGCACGTTGGAGGCCTCGGCTCCCGGAGGAATCTTCTTCATGAAGCTCATATCCACCTGAAACGGCATCAAACACACGGTAACCATAAAACACCATCGCCTGTCTGTTCTGTCCGTCACTCTGATACCATTTAACTGTATTAATACTTAAAACGGTTGTTTAGAGACGAGGAGACTCGCGACAGAGCCTGAAAAATCTGACCGGGCGGGGAAATAAGAAATCTGGCATTTTTTTCTGGCTTATATGTAGACCAGTGTTTCCAAACCTTTTTCCTTTGACTCACAGGACTATCAGACTCAAGAAGCCATTCATCACTTCTCATATTGTCCTGGTTTCATTTAAATTCAGCTTAAATTTATTTAACATGTGATTATATAGAAGTGTTCTGTTGATATATTGTTCTGGTCAGAGCTACAGTGAGGACAACCCTGTGTGACATCAAATGATTCTAAACTGCATCACCTCAAAATAACTGCATTATTTCTAAGCTGAATATAAGGTATTCGCTCCTATGAACAACAAAATCAAAGACTGTATTGAAAATTCAGGCCCCAAAGTAGAAACTTAAAGCAACCACAGTGAATCCAGCTGTGATTACTGAAACTAAACGGAGTCCACCTCAGTCGAACTGCATGAACCCGGTTCTAGAATAAGCTGTGTTTTAAACCTACGGGCTGCATGTCTGCATCATAAAAACTGCCAGAGAAACAAACAAAAAAAAATAATCTGACTGAGACTTCACAAAGACGGAAAAAGATCCATTAAGACGGCCGAGCAACTAAAAATCAGTGGAACACAGCTGTAGCAGTAATCAGGAGGTCGAGGAGGAGCCACAGGAGCACTAATCAGAGCTGCAGTGGTCGTCCTCCTAAAACGACTCCACAGACAGTAAAACTACTTTCACAGTCTAGCTGGGATAAAGACAAAACTGCTTCAGCCTTGACAGAGGGCTGATCAATGGAAATCAGAGTTTCTGTTAAGCTCAGAAGGTGTGAAGTGCACCTCATAACATCAGGTTAGAAGACAAGACAAAAACCTCAGAACAAAACTTCCAAATAACAGTTTACTACAGAACATGAAAAGAAGCCTGATGAATGTCGGGAGCACATCCTTCGGTCACATGAGACACAGATAGATTTACTGGGTTCAGATGGAGTCCAGCTTGTGTGGTGTGAACCTGACCAGGACTACCACAGTGAAGTCCTGACAGCGAAGCATGGAGGTGGCAGTGTGACGATATGGGGCTGCATGAGTGCAAAAGGTGTTAAGGAGAGGATGTTTATAGATGCATTACATAAGTCTGAAGATAAAACAAAATACTGACATGTCAGAATTGTCCAACTATGACCGTGACGGTATGTGTCCTGACTAGAGCAGAGAACAGCCGAAACAAACAGATCATGTAAATGTAAATATCGCTCCTCATATTTGGTTTTCAAGACGACTATAACCGAAAAGACACGAGGTAGTCTCGCTTTTTTTTTTTGTATTTAGTTTTTTCCTTTTCTTTTCTTTTGGAGGAAGGACTTTAGGTGTGATCCATTGAGAGTTCTATCTTTTTTTTTTATTTTTAAATGATGATGGTTTTTTTAATTAAATGGGAGAATACAGTTTTAAATGCCAGTTCACATGCAGGTCTTTGCTTTAACGTTCTTTTAACTTCAGCTGGTACAAAACGGATACGCTTTGATTGATAATCTTCAAATAAAAACATAACAACCAACAAGTTTTCATCACAGAACAGTTTTACACCAAACACTAAAACAACACAGCTGACGGTCAGTGAGCTTCACCGGACGCCACAAACAGCCAATCACAGAGCAGCACCACGACGAGTCACAGCACAGGCCACTGATTGGTCGACAGCCGGTGACCAACAGGTGAACAGACTTACTGCGGGCTTCCTGCCGGCTGCTGGCAGCAAACAAACACAGTTGCAGTCCTGCTGAGAAACAAACCAGTCATCCTCCAACATAAAACCACAGCAGCTGATTGGCTGCTTCAGAGTCATGATGGCGTCACACGACTGAAAGCTGCATTTTTATTGAACCGACATCCAGCCTCCGCTGGAGAAAGTGTCTGCTTTGCTTGAGTTTGGAGCTGCACAGAGCTCAAACTGCAACCACAAATCAGCTGACCTCAAAGACAACCAGCCAATAGCATTGCAGCGCTGACAGGAGGAAAAATGGAGGAGAAGTTAAGTTAATGTCTCTTCACTCTCAGTTACACGACTCTAGTCTGCAAACCCATCGGGAAAATGTCAAAGAGAACAGGCACACCATGCTGGAAAATACAGCATTTCATATGTACCTGAATTTCAGGAGGTAAGTCCCACTGTGGTTTTAAAAAAAGTAAGAATTTTTACATTTTAGATGGATTGTTTTTAAAATAAACTGCCAGTGGACCCACTTTGAGGAGGTGGTTTCGTACATTAAGTATGAGACAATATCTGAGGAACTAGAAAAGCTAAAAGTCTGAAATTTTCAGTTATTTCCCATCACGTCATTAATTAATCTGTAATATTGATAAAGTAGATCAAATAATCTCCAATCATGGGTGACTTGAAATATGAAAAGAAAATCATTAAAAAAAAGCTGTCATGAGAAAACCATCTCTGAGCTCACATTAACCAAAAACATCATGATGGAGATGTCAGCTGGGGATCTGAACCATATGTTGGTGCATGTCACAACAATACAAAACAAAACATATCTTTTTATTAGGAAAAATATATTTTTTTTTAAATTATTAGTATTATTATTGAACTTTCATGCCTGATTGCGCAGGTATGACGAGTTGTACCACAAAAACAGAAATGTTGGTCGACAGTCTGATCCAAGCATAGTTCTCATGTTACTAATATATCAACTATATATTACTAATATATAATCAAATTTTAATGTGAGGTAAAAAAAAACCTGCGGAAAGTGGGTTAAGGAGCATTTAAAAAGAAAAAAAAATCAGGAAGTATTTAATATTTTAATCTATAATCTTACTAATTTCTTTATAAATATCAATATGTTTACAATGAAGGCAAATCAGAGATGCTGGCACAGAAACAATTTTTAAAATGTGATGATTTGAGACCTGACATGTTCAGGACCGTGTTGCCGTCGGTTACCTTGCTGAAGTCCACCGTGCTGTTTTCCCGGCTGCCTCCGTTGCCGACGGTGACGCGACTCTCGCTGTTTTTGCTGTTGTCGAGGTTCCCGGGAGCCGACTGAGGAGACGCCAGCAGACCTGCAGGGACAGACGGACAGTCAGACGCGTGTCCTGGCATCTTTGAAGGGTTAATCCATCACATGTGGACCATCGGAGTTCTTCAGCCTGTTAAACAGCTGCAGCACAGTTTCACACTCAGCCAAACTCTCATGACACATTTTATTGTTTTATAATTAGTTCTTACATAGAATTCTGTTGATTCAGTGACAATTTCATGCAACAGCTGGAAACAGCTGTTCCTTCTTCAATTCTTTCTATATTTCCACCTTTCACTTTTTCCTTCCTTCACTACCTCCCTTAACTCCATCTTTCTTTTTCTTACCTCCCTTAACTTTCTTTCCACCCTTACCCCCTCCTTTTCTTCTTAAACCTCCTCCTTTCCTTCCCTCCTCACATTCTCTTTTCCCTCTTCCTCTCCTTCCCTTTCTCCTTGCAACCTCCTTTCCATCCTTACCACCTCTTTCCTTCCTTACCTCCCCCTTTCCTCTCCTTCCTCATCTCCTACTTTGCTTCCCTTCTTTGCCTCCTCTTCTTCCTCCTTGCCTCCTCCTTCCCTTCCTACTTTACCTCCTCCTGTCCTTCCTTAACACCTACTTTTCTTTCTTATTTCCTCTTTTTCTTTACTTTCCCTCCTCATTTTCTCTTTTCCTTCCTTACTGTCTAGTTTCCTTTCCTTCCTTATCTCCTCCTTTTCTTTGTCACATCCTTCCTCACCTCCTTCCTCTATATTCTTCCTCACCTCATCCTTTTCCTCTCCTTCCTCACCTCTTAATTTCCTGTCCTTCCACCGCATTAATCTGTGTTATGATGACAGAAATTAAACCTTGTTGGGCTGAAACATCAGATATCATGGATTTTTCTCATGTGACCTTCTCTGACATCACATTGTTCACTTTAACTGGATCCAGAAAGTGGAACCAGAGATCAGATATTTAGCTGTTTGTGTTATTTGTTTTGCTTCCAGCCAGCAGACAAAAAAGTTCTTCTTCCATCAAACCTTCCTGCTGCAGCTCAAAGAAACGTTTTCCACCTGACAGCCCATTAAAAGATTCAGCAGATTTAAACCGAAAGGACAAAAACACACGAGCCGAGCCGTCCACCAACACGTCTCACTGTTACCAACACACACACACACACACACAAGGTTAATCGGTGACATCACGGCCTCCCATCAGCCTCGGCTCCTGTTACAGTCCAGCAGTGTGGATGTCCAGACCTGCTGCTGAAGGTCAGGAACTCCGTCTGACTTTAACCTCCTCCAGACTCCACTTAGTCTGATGCAGGACTTTACATCCACCTGCCATCACGTGCATTTTTAATTTGTGCATTTGAAAAAAAAGTGAGCTTGAAATCAGAACAGATACAGAAGAAAATGCAGTTTCTAAACATGGGCTGGATGTTTTGAGTGAAGGTTTGACCTAATTTACCAAAGAAAACTGTTCATAAATAAATATACACAATCAAATCACAGATGTAATTTTAGTTTTTTGTTTTTTAACATTTAGTAAAATTGTGAGCAAAACGAGGTTTTATCAGCTTCACATCATGCTTTATTTATTTAAACTTTTTTCTGTGAAAAATAAAAGTACAATCTTTGATTATTACAGTAAAAATTGTAGGATTAAATTTTCAATGTAAAATGTTCCTGATGCAAAGGAAAATTTAGAAGATATCGAGTCAAGAAAAAATTAGATATAAATTCACGGTAACTTTCTGTGTCAAAATCGTGACTATTTCAGCTAAAGTCGTGACACTTTGTCATTGTGGAACTATTGAAGTTCATAAGATGCAAAGTCTGGTTTTGACCAGATAAAAATTATGAAACATGATCAGATTTTTTTTTAACCTTTTCAGTAAAAGTGGCATAAACTAAGTCAGACTGATTTTTGAGATATTAAGTCCAATTTTGACCAAACAAATTCGTAACGTTTATAAGTTATTGAGCCTAATTTTCTGAATTTTTAAAGAAAAATCTAATCTTGGAACACTTTCCTCAAAATAATGAGATCTGTAGGTTGTTTGAAATATTTCAGTAAACGTTACACTTATCACAGATGAACACTAAGACCGGTGTTTGTAGTTTAAACAAAGTATTGCATTGAACAGACATTTGGATTCAGCTGTGTTTGTAACTTCAGGGTCTGGTTTTTTTCCTCTCAGCTTAGTGATCATCTGCTGACTCTGCTGGTCATCACGCCTCATGTTCATCTGAACCTTTTAAAGATGTCAGCTTCAGCACACGAGCTGTAACTCAGTGATGAGGAGCAAAAACTCACTCAGACCGTTAGTGGCCTTTGCAGATTATTAACACACTGACAACAAAGAGCAGGAACAGCGTAAAGTCTGAATCACAGCTTGTGAGTTTCCCGATTAAAGAACTTCATCAGCAGCTCACTGACAAACACCAGTCATGTTTCTTCCACTTTAACCCTCTTGTGGTGTTTCTTTGCTTCCGGTACATTTTTCCTCACTGTGGGATCATTTGTCACTAATATAAATGTGCAACTTGTGTTTAAACCTGCTTTTCAGTGTAAAAACCCAACTTGGTGCAGGCTGAATCTAGATTTCACAATTTAGAAACAGGGAAGGTGGAACCAGATGTTTAACACCAAAATAATAAATTTTAGCTACAGCTGTAATATTCTGAGTTCTATCACTGTGATGCATTTGAGGATTAGAAATATATCTGCCCCTTTTTATTTAGTCATTTAATAATGTGAACTTTTAAATTCTCAACTAAACATCCAGCCTGATGATGAACTTTTCACTTCAGTGTGTTTTTTAAGACATACGTCAACTATTTTATTTTAATGGCCCTTTTCTAGTTAGACTAACCCTCCACAATGCAGCTCATTTTTCCTCACTGTGGGCTCACTTTCACTACAATACAAAGTCCTGCACCTTTGTGGAAACAATGAACAGGAGGAGAGAGAACTCTGTGTTGTATGGCACAGATAAAATGACAGACATCACTAAAAAAAAGTCTGTTTTTGTAACCTTTCTGTCATTTTGCGTCTTGTTTTGGTTGTTGTAGTCGTCTTTTTGTGGTCGTTTTGTCTCCACGTACAATCGATATTTAACTATTTCCATTTTTATAGCATCTACAAACTTTCAAATTCTACTGCGCACATCAGCTGTAGGAAGAAGCTTCACCATGCTGAACCTATCTGCCAACAACTTGCTCCTCTATTTACTGTTTTTTTGAGCAATGTTGCACTAATTTTATGGATTCAGTATTATTTTCCTCTCGGTCTCCCTTGTTGTCTCCTCTCTGCTCTGTGGAAACACTGCCTGCAGTTCAACCGAAAGCTCTCTGAATTTTTCACTGCTACAGCTGAGTCAGTCACGGAGAATCAGCTGGAACGAGAGGGGAAGAAGTTTTGGGTTTTTACAGAACCTGGTTGGACAAAAATGGTTTATTTTTGTAGAATAAAGTGATTTCAATAAAATATCACGATTTCAAGCTCACGTGGTTCATTCAAGACTGGTGGAAAGCTGAAAAAATCTAAAGAGTCCCGTTGTTCTTTCTGATAAATGGTGTCGATTTTTTTTAGCAGGCTTTGGGGTTCAGAGGGTTAAATCTGACTTCTCTCTCCTGTTAGATCACAAACATGCTTCACACTGAGCAGGTTTTTAGCACAAGCAGCAGGAAGTCATCGTGCCGGTTTTTGCCTGATTGACTGTGAGGAACCAGCAGATCCTGACAGGAGAGATTGTCCATTTTGTCCGCCATCTTGAACACCTCGTCCTCCTCTTCGGGGGGGTAAACCACCACCTCGGGGATCTCTGCTGGAGCAGAGTATTGGCGAGGCATCCCGGAGAAGGCTTGGCCCAATGGGGAAGCGTCGAGGAAGGAGCGAGGGAGGGAGGGGGTGAGTGTGGAAGGGCAGGGCTCGGACAGGTGGCGGCCCATGGTGGGCGTGGTCTGGGGCGAGGAGGTGGGGCTCGGCAGGAGGCGCCCGAACAATTGGGAGATGCGAGGAGAGGGGGGAGGCGTGGAGCCGTCGTATGAGCCGATAGAGGAGGTACGGGGGAGGGAGAGGCGGGAGGCGGACAGACCCTCCCCTGAGGAGGAGAGGAAGACGGTGAGGAGGATGAACGATGCTGCGAGCAAACACCAGGACCATCAATCGATCAAACCGATCGATGGGTTGCACACAGAGGGGACGAAACGCTTCAGGCTCTCAAAGCAAAGCGAGGATGAATGTTTGGGATTAGTTTGATTTTAAAGCGTCCTCGGTCAAATTCAAGTCCAAAACCTAATTAGCTGAAACGTGCAACAGGCAGGAGGCTTGGACACAACCTCGTGCTCATTTGTTCATTACTTTCTACGGCGCAGAGCAGAACTGACAGCAGCATCAGAGCCGTGAAACAACACAAAAGATTTTGTGTGGTGAACAACAAACTGTGTCAGTATGTTAACAAGCGACATGAGGGCGTCACCTGGACGGTTTCCAGTTAACAGGTGAGTCCTGGAATGAGACTGTCTGCGGCGTTGTGGTGTTAAAGCAGTCAGCTCTGCTTAGCTACTGCAGTAATCAAGATTACAACAAAGTAAATGACTGCAAAAGACAAAATGAAAACAAAGAGTCACAAAACAAGCACAAAGAGACTCATAATGAGCACAAAGAGACAGAAAACAGACACAAATAGACACAAAATGACCACAGAGAGACAGAATGACCAAAAAGACACACCAAGTTAACACAAAGAGACAAGATGACTGCAGAGATAGAAAAAACAGAGGCAGAAGAACAACAACAAAGAGACAACAAAAGACACAACATGAGACACAAAATTATCACAAAGAGACACAATGATGACAGGAAACAAAAAAATGACCAAAATGAGCTCATAGAGACACAAAATGACCGCAAGGACACATAAAGTGACCACAAGGAGACACAAAATGAACACAAAAAGTAATAAAAGACAAAAAAATTAGCACAAAAAGACAAAGAAGTATAGAATGTAAGCTGTGGGTGACGGCCTCATGAAGTGTGTTTTGCTTTTCACTGTAGAAAACAATAAAAGAAAAGAAACCCTTCATGAGCAGACGTGTCATACTGATCGACTGTCACATCCTCCATCATGCAGCATGCGTGCAGGTTTCAACACGACACGACTGCAGCTCACCTCAGCAGAACTGAAACATTCCTCACAAACAGGATCTATGAGTGCGGATATTAAGGCGCCGACTCGTCACGCGCTGTTAGCTGGTCATTAGCTCGCTGACTCAACACCGGAGGACACGATGCATCCGGATGAGCAAGAGACAAACTCTCTGTTAGTGAACACAACTGCACACAACCGACCCACAACTGATCACCAACCGAGAGGACAAAGTCACACAAAGTCACGATGCCGTGCACCAATCAGAGACCAGCCGTCTTGTCACTCCGTTACCTCGACCAATCGGGACGGACAGAGTCCGAACTCGACAACAAAAACTTCTTTGGGTCTTTGGAAAGAAAACAGCACGTCAGCATTAGAACACAACGATTTAAGTCACAGTTTGTCAAAAGGAGCTGCTAAAGTCCGGAGATACGCAGAATCTGTTAGAGTTCTAAGGTTTTTGACGCAGTTAGCTGTTTAAAGACTAAATCTGAAACCGTCAGAGCTGCGCTGGACAAGTCAGTTTGAGAGCAGCGGGATTTAGCGATGTAGAGGTTGTAGATGAACTTGTCTGACTTCATTTTCTCTACTTGAATGTTGCTGCAGGTAGCGGCAGAACAAGTAATAAAAGTACTGTTGAAGAAAAAGTCCTGAATTCAACTTTAAAGGGAAAAATGAAAGAGAGGAAATTTAAAAAAAATAATCAAAAGCAGTGTTGTTAAAATCTTTCAAGGATTTTCTAGGAATAGAATGTGCAAATAAAACAGTTTTCTATGCAAAGAAAAAATCTGCACAATATGTAAATTTATACATATTGAAGAGTCTGTACAAGATCAACAGCACTTTTCTTTTTTGTTTTCCAATATGGTTCCTACATTTTTCCCCCTTTGCTGCCGTAACACTACGAACTTCTCTGCTGTGGGATTAAGAAAAGATTTCTTCCAGAGATCTTAAAATTATCCATCCAATAAGTCAAAGTCAGAAGAAGTACAACAGTTTGTTGCTGCAGAGACTGAATGAAGCCTGATTGGACGGACAACAGACCTGCAACGATTAACCGATTAGCTGCGCACTATCAAATTAATCTCCAACTATCAGTGAGTGCAGCTTCTTGAATGTAAATATTTTGTGGTTTCTTTCGCACTCTGACAAAATTTTTTTCACTATTTTCTGACACTTTAGAGACCAGGCTGATTAATCCAGAATATAATCCACAGATTAACAGTAAAAATCGCTGTTCGTTGCAGCATTAGAACCGTATAATTCCAAGATCTCAATCTGTCACACTGACTGATTGATGAACTGCTTCCAGCTCCTTCATGTCACCTGTGGGGCTTATTAGAAAAATCCTCCTCAGATCGTTCTGTGTATAAAGTGATTTTCAGAATGACAAGAGCGCCGCGGTCTCACCGTTTCGTTCCAGTAAATGCGGGTCGGACTGTTTCTTGCCTATGTCGGCGAAGGATCGGACCAGCGGGATGCGGTTGCTCAGCTTCTTCTCGTTCTGGTGGTGGTGACGCCTCAACATGGCCTCCCTCACCTTCTGTCGAACGTCCTCCTCCAGCTGATCCGACGCCACCATGCTGTCGATCACCATGTCTGCGAGGGACGAGGACAAAATAAGCGTCTCACAGACAGATTCACATGCATCAGGTTATTACAGCAGCATACTGTCACTGTGGTTCATCTGAAGGCTTAAATGACAGCAGAAACAGCGTTTTTCCTGCATAGAGGAATTTGTGGCACGCTCAAAGATGTTTTAGGCAGCAGCAAAATGATAAGAGTTGAGAAGAAAAATAGAAATTAAATTCAGTGGGCTTCATGTGTTCTGCACAAGAGACTATTTTGCTGTTAAAATATTCAGAAAAATCCAAAACAGATTTTGATCAAATCAGATGAAAGAGTTGATTTGCTTTACTGTACTTTAGTTTTTACATATTTCTTGAATCACAACAGCACTAACATTTAACTGTTCACATCTCCTTTACAAATGCTGGATTTCTTTAGTATTCATTGCCAAGTCTCTATCTTCGGGTGCTTTTCTTGGGCATAGATCATATTCTCATACCGCAGTGTTTCCATGTTTGTGTTATATGTTTCTATGTGTATGTAGAAACGTTCTCCTTCTTATTTACTGACAGCTATAACTCTCAGCTGTTGGACAGTTTCTGTTTTATTTTTGCAGTCAAGATGTCGGGAGACACGATGACCCCGTTTTCACTCTTCATGAATAAAACATCCTTCAGGAAGCTGAACTGGGTTAACCAAACTTTTTAAGATCTGACCGACTCTCATGTCCGTTGAACCTGATGAACAAACACTATCTGTTGCAGCGGGTCGATCAAAAAACCGCTGCACAAAGTGTGTCGCTGTCACGAGCGTTCAACGTGTGCGGGCAGCAACTGTCACAAGTCCAGAGACCATGTGACTCGACCGTCAACATCAGGAGCGAGTTACAGATGTTTCTGTGACCACCAGCAGCTGCACATTTGTGATTTCACCACGAAGCTGCAGTGTTGGGCTTCCACATCAAGGCTGGTGGGCCGAGGGGACATTCAAGACATTTCTGAATTATTTAAGAACATTTTTTCAGACATTTTAACTGTTTTTTAGTAATCTATTGAGGGGATTTTTTAAAAGTTTTTTATTAATATTTTTAGGGGATTTTCATATTTTTTTAAATAAATTTTAGGATTTTTTAAAAATTGTTATTCTATTAATGTTTTCAGGACATTTTTAGACTTTTTTAAAAAAAATAATTTTAGAATTTTTTTAAAGTGTTTTTAGGGGATTTTTTTAAAGCATTTTATTGATCTATTCAGGGTATTATTCAAACATTTAAATCGTGTTTTTTAGTAAGTTTTTTGGGTATTTTATTGATATTTTTAGGGGATTTTTTTTCTGGTATTTATTACTATTTTTCAAAGGATTTTGACCACCGACAGAACATGAAGCCTATGCTTGGAAGCAGAAATGCATTTTTTTTTTCTTCTTAATTCATTGCTGAGCTGTTCAGCTGTCCAGCAAGATCAGATTGACTTTATTAATTTTATTATACTTGAAGTGTGTATTATCAGAAAAAACGGCATCAGACTGAGACTCGTATCAGCAGATACTAAATAATAAAGGACACGGATCGGATCAAAAAACTTGATAGGGGCATCCCTGGTGATGCTAAAACTTCGGACAGCAGGGAAAATGAGATGCATAATGACCTCATTGTCTTTCTACACTCTGCTGCTTCGATTACACGTCTGTTCTTAAAGCTCTGGTTTTTCTTCTTCTTCTTCAGATAAGACAGACAAGCTTTAGTTGCTTTTTTTTTTTTTTTAAATGGTGACCACAAAGTTTTCAAACTGGAGGAGTCAGTTCCTGCACAGCACTCAGCTCAGTTAAACGATGGCACACAGACCTGCGATCTCCTCGATGGTGTTGGCCCTCATGTCGAGCAGCACGGTGCCATTCAGGATGCAGGAACGCAGCTCGAACAGGCTGTGCAGCGACAACGTGGCCACGTAGGGTTTACTCCAACGCTCGCCGCCATCCTCCACGTCCTCCTCGAACTTCAACCACCTGAACACAACACACACATTTAACACCAGGAAACACGGACTGAAGCGTCTTTATGAAAACATTTCCCTAAGTAGAGCACTGAGACTTTAAAGATCTCCTCAGCCTGTTGGTTATTATAAAACCTGAGGCTGTGGGAATCTAATCTCACACATTTAGTTTGTTTATTCATCATCACACGGTTTTCCAGTTCGACTTCTGATCTGAAACAAGCTGTTGGACGATTAAGACTTTAAACCAACATCCTCTGGATTTATGAGGAATCTGCTGCAGATAGATTAGATCACTGATCAAACATCTTCAACTAAAATTACAAATCCTGAGTGAAGGATTCCTGATCCAAGCAGAGTGACATAGAGTGTTATTAGGAAAAACCCAGCAGGAGGTGTGTTGCTGTAAAATGGAACATTTAGCAGAAACGGAGGAGTTTAAACGAAAGCTGCAGTGAGTCGTCACCTGGCCGTCTCCTTCCACTCCTGGAAGTCTCCATCCCTGAAGGCGAGCTCGTCCAGCTCGGTGAACAGGTCGTGGGGGATGTGCTCCTCATCGTCGTCCTCCGTCCCGAGGATGAACTGGACTCTCTGAGACGGCGTGTCTGCAGGGAAAAACTCTTCATGACGTCACTGCCGTGTGATAACCAGATTTATCCAGTACGAGTGCGTCTTTAAATACTCACCGTATGTGGGCGACTCTCGTCCATCGTCCCGGTCCGAGCGGTCCCGTCGCTTCCGGTGGTGTCGGTGTCCTCTGTGACGGTGCCGCCTCCGGCTCTGGCGGCCCAGAGGGACGTGAACGCCAACGTAAACCGCCCTGTGACCTGACGGAGGGGGGAAAAAAAAAAAAAAGTCAGGTCCAAAATCTGGATAAATTTGGATCAGGTTTGTCACGTCGTTTTCAACCGGTCCTGTTCAGGTAAACATGCAACTGCTTTGTATGTCGTCACCTCAACTCTGCATCAGGATTTAGGGAACTATTATTTGTTTATCTGTGGGCAGGACTGTGCAAAACCACCGGTCTGAACTTCATGAGTCTTGTGGAGTCGTGTGGAGGTGGAGCACAGCCAGTTAGCAGCTGGTGCAGATCATTTTTTAATTTATTTATTTTTTAAATTGCAAGAGAACTTCTTGTAGTGACTTTAAAAAGTAACAGTGGCAGAAAACATGATGATGTTGACATTGTTCAGCTTATCTGTAGGTAGTGATGTGCACAGATTGACTACAGTCTGTTACACGATAAAATCTGGACAAACGAACTGATTCACCAGGAGTCATCCTGGATTAAACAAGTTAAACATAACTAATTAAGGCTGTGTGTATTTCAGCTTTTTAACACAAGTATTTACATTTTTAAAATCTATTTTTCTAGTTTCTCAGGTAAAACAATACAAAAATCAAATTACTTTATCTACATTACCTTTTAAAAACAAAACTGTCAAGTTAACAATTAAATTTTTATAGTTTAAGTTCGACAATATGATTTTGAAATATGCAATCAAAGTTACTCCTAATAAATGATTCAAGCTTAAAAAAAATCTATTGTATCATTATGATCTATTATTATATTATATTATATTATAGCTTCTCAAGTTACCAATTCTGTAATGCAAGTTACATTTTTTAATAAAATAAAATAAAAATTTAATAAGTTAAACAACTCAATTTTCTTTTAAATTTTAGGTTAAACAATATAAATTCAAATTATGTCCTTGAGGTAAAAGATTTTAATACAATTATCAAGTTAAACAATTCAAATGTTTGCAGAATATTAAGTTAAACAATAAAAATATAAATCACACAACTCAAATTAGATTTTTTAAATAAAAATTTTCAAGCTAAACAACTCGATTTTAACAGTTTCTTAGTTTATGCAGGTTCAAATTAGAGGTTTCAAGTTCAATTTTTTCTTTTTCTTTTACAATTACTGACGTTGAGCAACACTAATTCTATATATAATATAATAGTGCGCATCTTCTTGACTAGTCAGAGTCGAACTGTCTGAAACTGACTAAAATTAACCACAGCTGTTGGTTTGTGTCCATAAATCTGGCTTGCAGTATTTAAAACTGAACACTCAGTGTAACAGGAGAAAAAGTGTATAAATGTACGATGTGTAAATACGGGTTGAGTCACTTTCTGTTTGACTGTAAACACAGACAGCTCCGCTCAGTGTGCTGGTGTCTGAACTCACTCTCCAGCTCTTCTTTCTCAAAGTTGGTGTAGAGGGTGGAGCTGGTCTTGCCTTGGTCCAACACAGCCTCCTCATCATTCCCCTGCAACACAAACATTACATTCATCAATAAAACAGCGTTGTGGCTTTAAGTGAGCACCACAGCACAGGTTTCTCTTTCTGGGACACAACAGGACAGAATGACTCACAATCAGGTTTGTCATTATTTCACATCAAATCACTACAAAACGTCTCAAATGCACAGGAAAGAAAACGGCAGGTTCAAGGTCACATGAGGTTTGAGCCACAGAATCCCTCGGCCAACATGCCAAAGTGCCCATGAGAACAATAACATGAGATAAGATAGAACTTTATTAATCCAGAGGAAGGTTCATGTGTCGGATGTTGATTAGGAAAAATGACAATAACATGATCGTAAATGCAGTACCTGATAAAAAGGTAATAAGATTGAAGGACGATACATTATGAAAAATAAAAGTCAGCTGGGATAGACTCCAGCCCCCCACGACCCTAGTGAGGATTAAGCGGTGTATAGATGATGGATGGATGGAAAAAAAAAAGAAGATTAAAATAAAGCTACAACAGAAGAATAAGACATAACACTGGCAATGATGCTAAAATATTAAGCAATATTGCACATAACCTTCAACAATTAATGAATGTCTTGTTTTATCTGATAAACAGTCCAAAATTCAAGGATAGTCACTTTACTGATTAGAGTTTCACTATTTATTAGCCTCGCCGATTATCAACGTTGGCTCTGATGCAGCTTCGTCTCTTTTTCAGTCACTCTGTGGTCTCAGCAAAGTCCCGCCCACAGCTCTATCCGATTGGTTACATGTCACAGTAACAGCCAATCACTGAGAGCTGCTGTTTACAGACAGAGACAGATGAGCACATTAGCAGAGCTATGTTTGAAGGTGAGGTAGCAGAAGTTAATGAAGTTTCAATAAACACCACAATCTTCCACAGCTGCTCAGTTTCACCTGAAAACACCTGAAAAATTCACCTACTGGTGAAACTGATTCTGCTGACGCTGCTAGGCTAATGCTAACACTGAGAGGTTTGCCTCTTAGCCTGCAGCTAACGTTAGCTGGAGCACCACGACATCTTCTTAAAGTCAGATTAATTTTACCGCTCTGCTCTGAACACAAACACACATGAATCAGTGAAACAGCGTTGTGTTGTGGCTTTAACTGAGTTTGACTTTCTTACAACTCAAGTTCAAGTCTGTAGAAGTCACAACAGGGCATAATGTCTCACAAAGATGGATTAAAATACGCATCTGCTCTCTCATTATTTCACATCAAATCACTATAAAACATCTCACATGTACAGAGAGTAATGGCAGGTTCAAGGTTTGATCCACAGAATCCTTATGCCAACAAGTCAAAGTGCCCATGAGAAGAATTCGATAAGATAACTTTTCTAATCCAGAGGAAAGTCCATGTGTCAGATGTTGATCAGACAAACTGACAATAACATGATAATAACTGCTGTACCCGATAGAAAGGCAGTAAGATTTACGTATGATACACTACGAAAAATAAAAATAAGAAAACTAAAATAAAGCTAGAAGAGAAAAATAAGACGTAATTCTGGCAATGATACTGGAATTGTCAGTAATATTGCACATTACATGAGCAGAAACCAGAACACATGTGTCACGATGCTGGTGTGCGTAGTGACAGAACAAAAGTGCAGCTTCATGCTGGCTGGTTGTAAATACTGAGGCTACAACCTGCTGTGTGTTTGTACAGCAACACATACAGACGGCGTGGCTTAAAGAAACAGCCCCACTGTACAGACACACATCTAATCCTCCACAGCTTGCCGTCACTGGCGACTACATTAAACCACTAAAACCAATCATCCAGTATCATCCAGTTACATGTATGTTGCCATAAAACACAACAACACAGATGTTCCTTCAGTCTGTCAGCTGCTCGTTATTCAGACTCATCCTCTGAATCCACTTTACGAGTTCAACCTCTTCATGTTGGTATTTCAGCTCAGGAATTCAGTGTGACACAACGTATTGTGGACACGACTTCAAACTTCTCTCTGCATCTTCACCAAACAAAATGATAAAAATCTCGGAAAATACTTGAAATCCATCCATCCATCCATTTTCTATACACTGCTTAATCCTCACTAGGGTCACATGGGGGGCTGGAGTTTATCCCAGCTGACTCAGGGTGAAGGCAGGTTCACCTGGACAGGTAACCAGTCTATCACAGGGCAATACTAGAAATATCGATGTCAAATTTGACAGATACCATTTTAAATATCCATATTTTATGCTAAAATGTGTAAGGACACTGAGAGCCACTGTAGACTGGAGTCCCTGCATGCAGGCGTCCACAGTGCTGAACATACGAGGAGCGGCGACTCCTGTCTACAAGTCGGCCTTCGTCCTGGCAGGACGCTTTCTGTTGATGCCGTGAAAGTTCTGATGATTGAAGATTCTTAGTCCAAATAAGCTGTGAGCTGCTCAGTGACAGATTCATCCGGTTCACCAGGGTTAAATATAGATTTCACACACTGCTGGACACACAGAGCTCAGAGGATTCCTGCCTTCCTGTCATCACAGCATCTGTTATCAGAGCGAACGCCACGCTGACCAGCACAAAGTAAAGAGATCAGGCCTCTGCTGCTTCTCTTTCACAGAGCTCAGCGATTGCAGCCTGAGATTCAGCTCTGAAATGTTCAGCGCTGCAAATAACTGCTGGTTCATTAGTCAAAGACAAAATTCTAATTATTTGGCGGTAGAAGTTTCTAACATGTGCTGTTCTTGTCATGTAAGACTCTACACTCTGTGTCCTGCAGACACTTTTCACTGCTTCTGACGTTCTTTAGACCAAACAACTAATTTCTTAATTAACCCCCTGAACCCCACCGCTGGGTTCAAAAGGCATGTTGTCTTAAAAACACACTTTCATGATTTATCAGAGCCACACACTGTAAAAACAGAGGGAATCTTTCTGTGGGTCATCTGCAAGTGCTGCTCTGTCAGTAAAAATAAACAAAGCGAAGCGGACATTTGACCAAAGTGAACTTATTCTGGACACGAACGGCAAAACCGTGACTGATTAAGCTGTGATCAACAATCACACGACAAGAATTACACATGTCTTGGCTGAACTCCAGGCTACTTCCACAGAGAAAACCAATAAAATGGAAATAGTGAAATATCTGTTGTATGTGGAGCAACACCTGTGGACATGTTGATTCCAGGTTTTTAATTTACATTGTTGGAAAATAAACTATTTTTAAAACCCCTTTTTTTTTTTTACACATTGAATTTTGAACAACATCTCAGGAACTATTAAAGATAAAAGCCGGACATTTTCACTGTTATTTCTCATCGTTTCATGGTTCAGAATCTGTAATATTGGACAAGTAGATCAAAAAATCTCTGATTATGGGTGAGTCTGAACACATTTACAAAAAATGGAGAATGTAGAAGTCAACCGCTGATGTTTTCTGAGCTATAATACAAGACAAAACTCATAGAACACGAAATATGAAATAGCAAAAAATGAAAACGGAAATTTCATTGAACTTTCATAATTGAGCAGGTATGAAAAGTTTTACCAAGAAAACCCCCCAAAAGTATTGCTAGACAGTCTGATCCAATCGGAAAAGATTTCTGGAGTTTCAAAATGGAAAAAAAAACAAAAGAAGTCATTTTTGAAAACACCTATATAAAGTCGCTTTCGGTCACTTTAACTGAAAATTTCAGGCTTTCATCTTCAACAGAGATATTGTCATTCTAACATAGCTTCAGATTTCTATGCGTGATATCGATCTAAAATTTGGTGGAGGTGGTCGAACAAAGATTGTTCTAAAACAGTGATCGTTGGAGATGGAGTAAAACCCAACCAAAGCAGTGAAGGAAGAGAAAAACGTGATGAAGTAACCGCACATAAACAAACACGACCGAGCGAACGAGCCGGCGGCTGCTACTGTTGAGCTTCTGCCCGTGACTGTGTGCGATACAACAGAGCAGACTGTGCTCGGAGGAGGGAAAAGTCCAAACAGATATTCTGGAAGAAACATTAAGTTTAAGGCTTCTAAAAATAAGATTCACCCAGAAGGAATTTGAAGATGGTCCAGATATCACGATCAGGTTTCAGATTCGCTGCGTGCAGAACGAAGCGTCCTGAGCCAATGGGGTTTACTTTTTATTTTTTTTAAATCTCTGATGACAGCTTTGAGATTTGTTTCAAGACAAATTATGTTATGGTGAGAATTTATGACTAAATTTATGGATTGTCAGGTTACAGACTTTCTGACGGTCCTTGAACGTATCATTATAAAAAAACTCTGAGCTCCACGGAGCAACTACAAAAGCATTAGTGGTGACCAAGAGATGTGACAAAAATGTATTTTCGCCTGAACTGCAGGATGTGTTTTCACAGAGCAGAAAGGAGACAAGTATGGAAACTCATTAAAAGTGTTGTTAAATATTTACAGTGTGTGGAGCCTCCAATTTTTCCAGTATTAGTAAAACCTGTGGACACTTGGAAAAATGTTGGACGTGTTGATTCTGGGATATTTACCTTTTTGGAAACTAAACGATCAAAGAAATATTTCTTCCTTTCTAAATTTCTGTCACTCTAACTATGTCAATCTGTACAGAAGACATTTCCGATTTCTATCTCCTTCTAGCCATGATTGCATTGTTTTCATAGAGATGAAGGAGTTTATATTGAAGCAACAAATTCAATTTTATTTTTATTTGAGCCCACAGTGAGAAAAAAATGACAGGAGCAAAAGCTGCTCAGAATCTGACAGTTAATACAGATCAATAAGTAGTGAGAATACCTGCTATTTGTGCATTATTTTAAGCTCTAATCTTTGTGCTCATCACTTGCATTAGACAGTATGCAGAGGCAGGATGCTGGTGTTGGTTTTTGCACATGTGGGTTCAGCTGCAATCTGTCATCATGCTGAGCTCTTTTCCTGTTTAACTGAACCATTTCCTCAAATGTTTTACAGCCGCGATGAAGTCGACCACGTCCATCATTTTCTGTTTTAAAAAACATCACTTTCAGTCCTCACTTACTGCTGCGACACAATCCAACTGTGTTTGTGTGAAGCGAAGCAACACGTGACCCTGACCACAAACTTTACAGACTCTGATAACATGCGTCACAAAGCGTGCTTTTGACAGCACACACACACACACACACACACACACATACGTACCAGCGACATGGCTCTGGCCACCCTCTGACTGGCAATATCTCCCCAAAAGTCTGCCATAGCTGCTTTGTCCAAAACAAAGTTCAGTGTGTCAAATCAAGTCTCCAGTGGAAAATGGCCACAGCGTTAAGAGCTGTAAAAAAAAACCCCCAAAAAACAAAAAACACTGATCCAGCAGCTCGGACTCAAACCGTCATCTGCAGCTCGTCCCGAACCAAAAAGTGAATCCAGCTGCCAGCAGCGCCTCGGTATGATTGGTGTATTTATAGCAGAGCTTCAGTGTTGCTTCACTGAGCGCGTGTCAGAGCGAGCAGCGAGCCTCAAGTCTGCAAACACAGCAAGTTTAAAAAAAAAAAAAAAACAACAGCGTCATCCAGATTTTAAGTTGAACACAAGCTCAGAGTGAAACTGCATCAACAGCTTCATTTAACTTCTGACATGACTGGAAATCCACAGTTTGCACTCTGACAGCAGCTCAGAGTTACTGTACAGGGACACGAGCCTTCAGGTGTCACACGTCAAAACAAGTCTCAAGTCAAGATAAACTAGTCCTAAATCAAAACCAGGTCAGTCTCGAATTGAGAGCAACAAGCCTCAAATATAAAAACCCACAACAAAAGACAGCAAAACCAAAGTCAAGTCAATGTAACACCAAATCTCAATTCTAAAAAAAATACATATATATGTATATATAAAAAGAAGAAGCCCTAACTCAGCTCCAGTTTAAGGACAAGAAGTCCCAAGTCAGTCATACTATAAGACCAGCAAGTTCAGAGTCAAGGCCAATAAGTCTCAAATATAGAAAAAAACTAGTCCCAAATACATATTTAAAAAAAAGACTGTAAAATAAAAGGCATAAAAGTCCCAAGTGTAAAAACACCAACAAGTCTCAAATATAAAAACACAAGTTCCAAGTCAGTCCCAATTCAAGATCAACAAGTTCCTATTTAAAACAAACAAGTCCCAAATATTTAAAAAAAAACAAAACAACTTAATCTACAAGTCTCTGGTTTGTCCAAATTTAAGGCCAACAACTCTAAAATAAAAAAACAACAAAAATTCTCAAATATAAAAAGTCCTAAATCAGTCCCAATTTAAGACAAACAAGACTTGAGACTGACAAACCAAAAAGTCCCAAAAACCAAATCGAGCAACCGATCAAAGTCAAGAACTAGTCTAAAGTGACAGCAAGAGCTACTCAAAAACCAGTGCAAAACAAGACCACAACAAAGTCTAAAACTGGTCCAATACCAGTCAAAATCAAAGTCCAAAACTGGTCTATATCCAGTGTAAAATCGGCTCAGAAACTACACTCGACCTGTATCTGTGACCTGTGGCTGGAGGTCATTAACCTCCATGGAAGTCTCTGTCATTGTGCCTGTTGCTGGCTAAACCCCACGATGCTCTCTGCTTGTCAACATGAAGCGCCTGCAGTCTGAGGAACCGTCTCCTCAGTAGGAAACAGTAAGAGGCACAACACTTGAAATGTGCATCACCCACTGGATTGGGACTATGTGTCAGCAGATACATAACAAATGACTCAGACCGGATCGGATCGAATCGGAAGCAAAAAAGACTTGACCAGGATGTCCCTGCATGCAACAGATTAAAGACCTTTGGAGACTCACTTCATAGCAGAGGAAGAATTATTACAGACACAAACAAATCGTTCAGGGTCCACTGGTGTCTAAAGCTTCCTCTTCAAACTCATCTCCTCTGAAGTAAATTGAGCTCACGGGGTGCCATCTTTTGTGTTCTGACCTCTGACCTTCTTTTACAGTTTAATCTCGGTGATGTACGAGGCCGATTCTCTGAACCTGTGAGTCTGTGGGAGAATCCAGTTGGATAAATCTGATAAATTAGCAGTGTTTGTAGGAATGAATGAAGTCGTCTCATGTTTCTCTGCATGTGTAGCTTCATGTTTCACCATCTGACTGCAGGCACTCGGGCTTTTGCATCTGTAAACAATAAGCGGTTTCCATTGTACGACAATAATACACTGGATATGCTTTTCCCTCCCTGTGTGTGCCTCACACTTAATGCTTGTTCTTTTCCACTCTGCTCAGGAATTCTAATGAGAAACAACAACAAGCTGCTACATGAGCACAGAGCACACATCCATATAAACACGGGGCAGACGGGGTTTTACACTTCCTTCGCTGTTGTATCACACACACATTAAAACACACTCCTCGGGCTTCTAAAACTACAATGAATCACCGACTTCAATCTAAACTCGGCTCACAACAGAAGGAGAAACACGTTAAATGTCATCTGGCAAATGTTCATGCACTGGGTGGACGTCAACTTCCCTCCTGCAGCTTCTCACTTTGATGCAAAGCAGCTCTGATTAAAATTTTCATGGCACCAACATATGAGATGACAACGTGAGAACAGTGTGAAAGGTGTGGTGACACACAGGCAGGTCGGCAGAACGTGCAGCTGCTTTTTGGTGAGTTTGTGGCTACAGATTTACTGTTCTGGTTCATTCTCATTGTGCTGGATTCAGCCGCCGCGGGCAGAAAAAAAATGTTGTAAAAAGGCTCTTTATGTGACCCGAACAGGAAAGCAGAAAAACCCGACTGCACACCAAGAACCACTGCAGTGTTAAATAATAAAATCATGACGCCTTTTACGGGACAAATGCTGGAAAGATGGGCAACAAATAGAACAATTACATTTTTCATGTGTTTCACTTCTTTCTGGGAGTTTGCAGCTTCTTAAAGCTTATTGAACAAGGTTTGATAGGTGCATTATCTTTAAAAGATTCCCAAAAATGGCTTTTTATCAGAGGCAGAAACTGAAAAAATACAGCGGCTCACTGAATTTTGAACTCTCTGAAAGCAAATTTTAAACACATCAGGTGTGATGCCCGGAAAATGATTCACATCTGAGCTTAGCTGGTAAATGTTCTGCACTTATGTAGCAGCACTCAAAGCGCTTTACAGTGTTTCTCATTCACTCATTCACACAAACATTCACACACCAGTGGCCGTGCAAGGTGCTGCCTGCTATTGGGAACAACTTCGGGTTTGGTTTCTTGCCCCCTGTGGAGGGGCTGGGGATCGAACCGCCAACCTTACCATCAGAGGACAACCTGCTCCACCACCTGAGCCACAGCCGCTTAGAATTATATTTCATCAAAATCACTTTTTTCTATATGTCTTGTTTGAAAAATTCTCCAAAAAGAAAGCATTTAAACCAGATTCTGTGAAAAGCAAAACCTTCTTTGCTCCTTGTTCCATCTGATTCTCCAAGACTGACTCAGCCGTGACCAACAGTGACAAATTCTGAGAGTGTTCAGGTGAACTGCAGGCAGTGTGTCCACAGAGCAAGTAGTTAAAAGATACGGTCAGTAGAGTACAAATGGAAGTAGTTAAATATCGTTATTATAGCGACCATAAAGAGGCACAACTGCCCTTAAGACACATTAAGTGCAGGAAAACTGTGCGAGCGTTAAAAGATTGCTTTGTTTAAGCAGGGTCACATGGTGAGCATTCCACCCTTCACTAATGTCTTTATGTTCATCTTGTGCAGCTACAGTCATGTTGCTGTGCAGACCGACGCGCTGCAGGAGCAAAACGCTTTGTGCAACCTGCAGCAGAGCTCAGAGCAACACAAGTGAATTCAGTTAAAGAATAACACTGATAAAGCAAACCACGAGGAATAAATCTGCTCCACTTTGATGCGAATAAACTACAATTTGGGAAAAAACGGAACGTGTGCAGGTGACGGCAAAACAGCAAAGGAGGCTTCAACAAACTTAAGTAACCCACAAAACTGAAACTTAACAGTGTCGACTTAAAGAGGAAGCATTGTGTGTTTTCACTGCTCACACTGCACAACCATAAGGACACACAAAAATGGATTTTAACCTCCGTCTGACAGATGGCCTGTTCTGATATCTGCAGAGAACATCAGATGTCTCCAGTGATGTAGTTAACAGAGTATCATGCCTGCTCTTATTATGATGTATCACTGGTAACACTTCCCAAATACAACATTTTAAATGTTCACCAGCACTGTGCAAAACAGAAAACTACTTCCACTTCAACAACATCTTTTGTTTTTAAACACAACCTTTATCTTTATTTACTTCCTGTCAGCCTGCTAGTGTTCATTCTGACCCGGTTGGACACAAACATAAACAGAAAGATGAATAAGGAAATCACAGGTAACAACATTCTGATCGTTTCTGGAATCGATCCTGAAGCCCAACGTCTTTAAGTTTGAGTCAAAATCAAAGTCTTGGAGCGATTTCTGAGCGCTGTTCACCTCGACTTCAGGCACAGGACACATAAATATTACCATGCTGATGATTTATTATTAGTTTTGCCCGTAAATGGCAGAAAACTACAAGAAGTTTAAATTATATCAAAAGAAGTCGTCTAGAGATGCAGTTCACTGATACACAAACCAGACAATAGATTATTAATAAAACCAGATTTGAGAAGATGAAATTAGAAAAAAATGTGTTGATCAGCTCATCAGCTGCATTGAAGCGGTTGCAGCTGTAATGATGACACATCAGGTGGTTCCTACTGAAGACTACAGCTTTAAAGAAGTGGGCAGAAGGGAAATGTGACACATGCAGACAGAACAGAGTCTCCCAGGACTCCCCTGAGAACAGACTTCTCTCTGCCTGGTGCTCCATATTAGGAGAACCAGCTGAGAGGAAGAACCACATCTGGACCGGAGCTGAGTTCACTGAACGTACCAGGAACTGTGGGAAAACTCACACCGGCCAACACACACAC